TTCTTACCCAACACAGCTTCTCTTTTGAGTTAGTAAAAGGGTTTAGGGAGGGATTGAGAATAGAGATGTCTCCAATGGTGCAAGCAGGAAAATTAAAGAATCACATTGGATACAGAAAGACCTTTAACATGGGGCAAAAGAAGCAGAACATCTGTCAGAGATGCCATTTCTCCTTTTGTTTCCTGAAATGATTGGTTTTTTTCAACCTTTTAACTACTCTCCATGGACTTTAAGGAACCAGACTGACTCCCAAAGGGACCACTAGAAAAGCCCTTTCAAGGCTTTTGAAAGCCTGATTTTGTCCCAATCACCAATTCTCTGACCTCATCCACTGACAGTCTGGTTCCTTTTGTGGCTTAGGAACAGCCCTTCTTAAAGACACAGGCTCCCACATTTCCCAATCAGATCCCCCCCCCCCCCGCTTTTTGAAAGGGAAAGATAGAAAACCCATGCCATGGCCCACATAGAGAAAGACTGCTGGGTTTACCAATAACCTGGGAAGAAAAGTTGTTTTTTTTTTTAAATTTGGTGCAGGATTGACCCACAAGGACCAATAGCCATCTGCCTCAGATGTGAATCCAACAGTAGACCCTTCAAATAATCCCCACAGCTGCCTTGGTAGTTTCAGACCCATTCTTAATCCATGTGGCTGACCCTGTTGGTTTCCCTTGGAATTTACTGCCTTGACATTAAATCGCTGAAATTTCCTAGAGAGAAGTTTATCCAAAGAAAGATCCCTCTCTTATCTGTTTTGAAGCCAGCAGGAATTCAGCAGTGATTCAATGAAACCAAGATCACATCCTTGTTGCCAAATTGTTAGAAACAGGCCAAAATAGGTCAAAGAAAAGCAAACAATATTTATTAAGAATGTTTCTATTGACAGAATGCCTTGGAACTGCACACCATACAATTAGAACAAAGCTTTTATAGTTTACCTCATCCTCTAACAACTTTCTCATCCCCTGACAACTTTCTCATAACCCTCCTCCCTTCCCAAGGCTAAGAATTGTCCTCCCTCCATTTATATCCCATTCAAGGACAACACTTTCAAGATGTAGCTCAGACACTCATCTTTGCCCTGTTTCCTTCTTGTTCTTTCTTATTTGGGACCAGTTTTCCTAGAACTACATACATATAACTTTTCTCTTTAACCCTGTATTTGTAAGAACAAAGGAGGCATCATCTTCTTCATGGAAGGGGTGAACAGTCTGCTGATCAAATTCACAGATGATACTAAATGGGGGCAGGGGCCACAATTGAGAAGCAAGTACTCCGGATCTAGAAGGATCTGGACAGACTATGGAAGCGGGCAGTGGACACCAGGATGGCATTCAATGTGGATAAGTGCAACATCTTTCACTTGGGGCATAGGAACGGGTGTCATAAGTACAGGTTAGGGGACAAGTGGCTGGAGAACAGCACTTGTGAAAGGGATCTTGGGGTACTGGTCGACTGCAGACTAAACATGAGCCAGCAGTGTGATGCAGCAGTCAAGAGGGTAAATGCCACCCTTGGATGCAGAGCCAGAAGCATGGCTTCTAGAACAAGAGAGGTATTACTACCACTATATATGACTCTGGTGCTCCTGCAACAGGAGTATCGGGTTCATTTCTGGGCTCCACATTACAGGAAGGATATAGCCAGGTTGGAATCGATGCAACATAGGCCTACAAGTATGGTGGCCAGATTGCAGGGAAAGCCGTATGAGGCGAGACTGAGGGAACTGGGTCTTTTCAGTCTGGAGAAGACTCCGAGCAGATCTCTTGGCCACATATAGGTACGTGAGGAGGTATCACATGGAGGTGGGTAGAGACCGTTTTTCCCCTGCAGAGGAGGGCAGGATGTGTTCCAATGGAGCAAAGCTCAGGGAACAAAAGTACAATTTGACTGCCAGGAAGTATTTCCTGACAGTTAGGACCCTGAGAGTATGGAATGGGCTTCCACGGGAGGTGATTGAGGCCCCATCGGTGAGAGTGCTCAAGGATAGGCTAGACATGCACATGGTGGGTATGTCATGAGTGGAGCCAGCTGGAGCCGGGGAGTCAGACTAGATGGCCTCTTCAGACTTGCTTTATTTCTGTGTTTCTCCAACAGCTCTCACTTATTTTGGAGGGGGCCGTCAGGGGAATCACTGGATCCCTGAAGCTAGAGACACTGTCCCTCCTAACCACCTCTCAAGGGACATGTGCTGAGCTTGCCTTTGCTGCTCCAAAAACTACCCCTCATTTGCCAAGGGTACTGAGTGTCATTTGTGGACACCTCTTCCTCATACAGAGAGATAGTTTCCAGAGTCCCTGGGAAGGAGGGATTGGCTGATAAACCATTCTGAGAACTGTAGTTCTGTGAGGCAAGTAGGTGTTTTCTAGCAACTCTTAGTCCCAGAATTATTTGGTAGAAACAGTGGTTAAAGTGGAATACAAGTATTGCAACTGCACTGGAATCACTGGAAATTCACTGGAATCAATGGGAAAATTAGCCATGACTTTTAATAGCCTTAAGTTCCTCTTATTTCAGTTAGGCTACTGTATGCATGATTCAGTGTGGATCCAACGAGAGCACAATAAAGATTATTGGATATTTTGAGAAACCGGACTCCCTAAACTATGGAGTGTGGACTCGTGGAGGATCTGCCACACACATGCTCATGAAAAGTCAGTGGTTGCAGAGGCTGCAGGAAATTAAAAGAAACCAAACAGTGATTGTCAATCCAGACTGCTACTCTTGGGGGAATATAACTACATATGTTTCAATAAGTATGGATGATTAGTGCCCGAGTTCCTTTTTTTCCTCTTCCCTTCCTGTCTCTTTCCCTTTGTATGTCATGTTTTTAGACAGTAAGCTTGTGGGTACGAACTGCCTTATTATTTCCACATAAGCCACTTGGGGAGCTTTTGGGATGGAGAGGAGGGCATGAATGTAATGTTAAAAATCATTCATTCATTCATAATACGATAATAAGAAATAGCTTCTAGAAGCTGTAATTGTTTCACCTCTTGCATTCATTAACAGAAATTCAAACTAAGTGCTAAAGCTCATTTTTACTGTATAATCATAGGTTGTATAAACTTGAAAACAGGGATAGCTTTGAAGGGGGTGAGGCTCTGAGCTGTGGCTCTGACTATTATGAAGAGACTCCCCCATCCCACTTCTAAATTTGCCTGTACACCATTGAACACACATTGGAAAATTTATGGTTAGGCCATAGTTTAGATTTCTGTAAATCCACTTAGCTTCAACTTGCAATGTATCAGCATTGTTAAATTTAGTTATACAGAGCCCTCTACTGGTTTATTTTCTTTTCTCCTACATTTTAATTTAATTTTTAATTTTTAATAATTTTAAATTTAATGGTTAGTCTGTCAAAGCAAATCTAGCATCTCCTTAAATTTCAGTGGAGAATAAGAAGCATTTTAGTATCTTAAGAACAACAATGCATGCAACAACATAGAAGTCTTTAAAAAGGAAAAAAGAACAATACCTAAATAAAAATAAGAGACAATTAAAATAAGAAAATAACTAAATATCAGTAGTTGAGCAAATATCAGCCAGAAAAGAAAGAAAACTAAATATCACTAGTTGGGAGAACTGAATGATAAAGTAATAGGAATGAAATACTTGAAAAACTAGTCATGTGTCTCTAGTCTAATTAGTCTAAACTCCATCAGGGATCCTTACAATTTAGTGTCCGGTTGCAAAAATCTTATTCAAAAATTTGCTGTCTCCTTATGGATTAAAAATAATACATCACATGCATGAACTTTTAGAGTTGTTTGGTTCAGCTGTTCCAGCTGAAATATGTATGCCCTCATCATTCCATGCCTTTAAAAGCAGGGTCTATAGAGTCATTTGTGGGAAACTGCTTTCTCCTTAAGAAGAATCTTAATGGGTCAGTGTAAGGTGCTATGCTGCTTAGAATAAATTGGTTAAATGTATTTATCTAGCCAGGTTAAACATCCCTTCTGATTAGTGTTCCTGCTGATTTTTTTAAAAACTGTATGAACCATTCTGAGAACACTGTGCAGCCTTTTAAGGGAGAGCCAGTGTGGTGTAGTGGTTAAGAATGTGGGACTGGGACTCAGGAGACCTAGGTTCTAGTCCCTGCTCGAGTAACTGGGTGACTTTGGGCCAGTCACAGACTGTCAGGCCAACCTACTTGAGGGTAAGATTGCGTGAAGGAGAATTAAGTAAATTGCCTTGAGTTCCTTGAAAGAAGAAAAGGCAGGATAGTAAATAAATATAAACACTTTCTAAAATTATTTGTTACATGTATTAGGAACAACTAAGTTATCATATACGATCCTGTTAATTTAAAGATACAATTATTTAAGCTGGCCTGAATTCCTTAAAGGAAAAAAGTCAGGGTATAACTATAATCTTTGCTTTCCAGGAAAAGCAAAACCGGACAAAACAGCATCAACTCCTTCCTACAATTCTGAGCATGCCATAGTCAGCATGAGTATCTGGAAGAAAGCTGGAAATAACAGGGCTCATTTCTGCCTAAGCATGTATGTGCCCTAAATGAATTAACGATTGCATATTTATACATTTATTCGTATGTATGTTTATAAAGCATATATGAGTGAAACCACCTTGATAAAGTTTGAGCCTAAAAGGCAGCGTATCCTTCGTTTCCAATAAGCAAATGAACAAACCATAACTTTCTTCTAAAACCTGCTATTTCAACTTCCCCCAGTCTAGTGTCCTCGACATGTTTTGGACCACAACTCCAATTAGCACCAACCACCATGGCTCCCGGTTAGGGATTATGGGAGTTCTCATTCCAAAAAAAATAAAATCGCCTGGCGGGTACCAAGTTGACTAAGGCAGCCCAGCGTGGTGGACTGCAAGAAACACCGCGCTGGCCCCGCCCCCGAGGAAATGAAGCCGCCGCCGCCGCTGCGCGCCTTCTGCGCCCTCCTTCGGCCTAGCGCCGGCAGTCCCCCACTTCCGCGCGCCCGCTGCGTTCTTCGTGTTAGCAGTTCTTTGACCCTCGTCGCATCCCGTCGTGTCCAGAGTGCGCTTCCGCCAGTTTCTGCTAAACTTCCGGTATCGGGCGGTGAGGGAGCAGAATGGTGAGTGAATCGGGTGCTGGGTGTTCCTGGGTTGTGGGTGATCCCCTTAGAGAGCGCGACGTCTACGCTTTACGAAGGCGAGATAGAAAGAGGCGGGCCGGGCTCTTTCTGAACCCGGGACCTGCTCTCTGCTTTTCCTCCCGCCGCCTCGCTTCTCACTCCGGCCCGGGTATTATGCGATGTCATCGTCATTCCCCTATCAAAGGTGAGGTGAACGGCAGCGGAAGGGAGCGAGGCAGCTTCGTGTTGGAGTAGGTGGCCACGGTGAGCAGGGTTTGGAGGCGTGAAAGAAACCCGGTTCGGCCAGGGACATTGCTGCAAAATCCAGTGTGTTAGTGTCTGCCGTGAGATAAAGACATTCGGAGAGCCAAGCTAGATCAGACCAAGGGCCCATCTAGTCTAGCGTTCAGTTCACACAGTGGCCAACCAGCTGCCCCCGGTAAACCCACAGGAAAGAAATGCGTGCAACATGTTTCGCCCATCTGTCATCTCTAGTAATCGGTGTATAGAGCCATACTGGCCCTGATATCGGAGATAGTATACAGCTATCAGGTCTTCTCCATGAATTTACCCAAGCACCTTTTAAAACCACCCTTAATGATGGTCATCACTACATCTTGTGGAAGCGAATTTCATAGTTAAATTCTGTTTTGTGTGAAAAAGTATTTGTTTATTTGTGATTTGCATATTGCTTAAATATAGCATTCCTGAGTAAACTCTACTTCCTTTGATCTCTTCTGAACTTCTTATCAGTTAGCTTCATGGGTTGACCACTTTGGGTTCCATTATTATGAGAAAGGAAGAAAAATGTTTCCATTCTCTTTTTCCAAACCACATATGTAGTTGGTTTTATGTTCATCCTCATGTTTGTGCTCTGATATGAAAACATTATATATCACAGCATATCTATATAAATCTCTAAAACCTTCCCATTCTTTTGTTTTCCAGATGTGTTGGACTACAGTTGCCAATATGCTGCAGCTGTAGTCCAGCACATCTGGAGGGCACCAGGTTGGGCTGTTCCACAATACACTTATAAATGTATACACACTTTCCCCATGTGTGTATGTGGCTTGCATGTTGTACAGAGATTTATGTTATTTATAGGTATTTTAATATACTCTTTGTCATGTATTTATTTGTATGCTACGTTTCCACAATATTATGTTTAAAGCATCTCATGACATATTGATAGTAAATATAGTAATATTCAAAACTACAATGGAAATTATTAAAAATAGGCCTGCTATTTATGAATAAGTACCCTGTCTTTTGGTACTTATCCCTAAAAGTATCCTTTAAAATGATATAAAAGCTCAATAACATGTTGCTTGTTGTTCTTTGAGACAACTGCACACTTTACATAGCTGATGGGACTGTTGTGTGTGAGCTAAAAAGTGTAGGTGGTGCATGTATATCTTTAAAAGCACATGTATTCTTGTCTGAGAACTCTGATTCAATCAAATGTCACAAATATATATTCCGCGATCAATTTTTAACAGTCCATGCAATGCTGCTGTCCATAACTCTCTGAACTTGAAGGTTTTTGTGGCATCTAGTGGAGGGCAGATAGTTGCCACTGCACTTCTGCCCGACAAAAGAGTTAGCTGGTTTCAGCTATCTGAATCTTTAAGTTCAGTGTAGGATAGGCTGATGTGCAGCAGGGATGGTTCATACGTTATAGTAAAATATTGTGTTGGAACCTCTCTCCTCCCTCTCTCCTGGAATGTCTACACATCCCCATATCCAAGGACAGTGCTAGATAAAACTGCATGAGAACACATAGGATAGGGTTCCTTTGCTGCTGAGGGCAGCTGTACATTTAAATAGCAGACATGTATACCGTCTGAACAATGTTTCTTGCAGAAAACACATAAAAGCTGGATCACATTGTCATATACGTAGGGCACAATTTTGTGGATGCTGAGCAGAGTCTAGCTGGTCACAGAAGGTGGAGCTTTGGCACTGAGCTCAGAAACATGCTTCAAGGTGGACTTGAATCTACCCTTGGAGAGCTGCATATGGTGCAGAAAGAACTAAGCCAAGTTCAAGGGGAAAAGGGGGGCATAAGCATGATCTGTTTTCTCTAAATATAAGACAGCCTGCAGAAAATGTTCAGGGTTCAGACAACACATAAAGCTGGCTTGAATGGAATGGGTGGCCTTTATGGGTTGTTGTGTCTTGCAAATACAGCTGTTGAATTTCACTTGATTTTCTGTTTCTTCTATTAGGGTCAAAGTCAGAGTGGTGGACATGGTCCTGGAGGTGGCAAGAAGGATGACAAAGTAAGTAAAAGAAAGGAAATACAAGGTTCAGTTTGATTTACTGTGACAGATTTGCCCTAATATAGGAATATTATGTTATGTAATTTTTATACTTAGCTTGAGAGTGGATCAGTAGATAACATGTCTCATGCTGTACACAAAGAACAAAGTTTCACCAGGAAAATTGTAGGATTAAAAATTGATGGAATTAAGACCCAGACTTAATAATTGGGAATTCTGAGGTATGTCTTATTTTAAAAACTTAAGTAGTTTCTACATGATTCAAATATTGAATAGAAACAAATATATATATATTGTTAAAAACACAACATATTTTGAGTGTGTTTTTAGTTTAGTTCAGGAAGAACTGTCTTTTTCGTTTTATAAAGATTAAAGCATCTTCCTCAGTGGCAGTTGTAAACTAAGAGCAAAACAAACCCAAGAAATCCATGAAATAGGTGTTAGGTCTTCCATGAGGAACTGATGTTTAATTCTAAAGTCCCTGTGCCTACTGTGCTAGTATTTGAATGATTTCACATTAGTGTTGTTTCTGGTATTCAACTCATAACAATAAATTATTTTTCCAAAATGCCCAGCTTATGATTTATGACTAATAATTTTACTTCATTCCTTCTTATCTTTTCTGATACATGCCACTCTTCAAAGCAAGATAGTACCTGTTTCTCTTCTGCAGGTTTCTTGTTTCATTATTTTGGAGTGTTTCTTAGTTCTATTTACTTTTTCAAGATATTTTATTTTCACTTTTTGTGACATAGTTATGCATAAGTAAACATACAGTTTTCTTTTTCTTATGTGATATCAGGTAGGAAAATGTGTTTTCAGTGAGTTTAGCTGGGAGACTATTCTATCTGGCTTTACTCATGAAAATACATAGTGTGTTACCCTAAATGCTTCTGTTTAAAACAAACTGATTTGGGCTTAATAGATGAATATATAATTAAATGTGTTTCTTTATTACAATTATAGCACAAGAGAGATACAATTTATGTGAAATATGTGGAAAATGAATAATTAGTGTTGATAAACATTTGCAAGGTAGTCATAACACTTCCTTGAGAAATGTAGCGAATAAGTGCTGTACTTTGCAGTAGCCAGTTTTCTGTATTGCTTGCTGCATGTGGCTAATAGGCTAATTTGGGCCATGGTTTAGGTTTCAGAAGTCATGTTAAACTGCAGTTACTTCAAACAAAAGGAATAACTTTCAACCTCCTAACAGATGTGCTGGAGGAATAGATGGGGGTGCTTTATGCTGCCCCCATGGTTTGTTAGGGTGCCTGAACCAGTTCTTAAAACATAGTGTCCACACAGTCAAGAATTTGGCTATATTTCGTCTGATAATGGAGATGGGACTAGATTATCTAAACAAGCTACCAAGGCTTATGTTCTGTGATGTTTATAATATGGTGTTCATGATGTCTACTAATTGATGTGCTGGTATTGAAGGATTTTTTTTTAATGAACTACAAGTTATGTATTTGCTTTGATTTGTATAGCTAAACACAGTAAATAAGTGGCCCAGCAGTCTTCGAGTGGTTTGCAGGTTGTTTTTTTTACAGTGACTAAGTTAAGGAAGTTGTATTATGCATGTTCCCATGGGATTAAATCTGTCGTCCTGCTAACTCTTTTTGCTTGGTTTTTAAAATCAAAAGGACAAAAAGAAGAAATATGAGCCTCCAGTTCCAACCCGAGTGGGGAAAAAGAAGAAGAAAACAAAGGGACCAGATGCTGCCAGCAAACTTCCATTGGGTAAGTGCAGTTGGTTTGTGTACATCTCGGAGGGTTCACAGTTAAGCAGTAGAGCACATGTGTTACTTATAGAAGCTTGCAAGTTTAGACCTGGGCATCTCTGCTTGAAAGGCCCCAGTCAGCAAAGCTGGATGAGGCATCTTGGTCTGAAAATCTTGGAGAACTCTTCTTGAAGCTATCAGTACTGAGCAAGATGAGCTAATGATTTGATTGCCATATGCAACATGTACAGTATATACTGCTCCATGTCTAAACAGATGTAATCATTAAAAGATAAAAGGAAGAAAATGTTATATTAAAAAGTATTTTAAAAATAGAATGCAAATAAAAATGTGGCTGGTTGGTTGAGGAGGGCTTGTTGAAATAAATATGTGTTTAGCAGGTGCTCAAGGCAGCACGGTGCCTTTCACAGAAGGAGAGCCATTACACTGAAAGCTACTGTACATAGCACCAGACAGAATCTTCTGTTCTTAACATCTGTGTATGACTGTATCATGGGATCCAGAACTCTGAACTTGTAGATGTTCAGTCATTTACCACTTTAGCACTGATATTCAAGGGGGAGGGCCTTCTTGGTGGTGGCCCTTGGATCATGGAATGCTTACCCTATGCAGGTCCTCCTGGTACCACTGCTGCCATCTTTTGGGCACCAGATAAAGACTATCCTCATCTCTCAGGCATTTGAGGGCATGTGATGAGCTTTTTAATGTTGGTTGCTTTATGAAGTCCTTGTTGCCACACTGGATGATGTCTTTAGTTGTTTTTAGCTATTCCAATTTGCTTTAAGTTGTTGTTATGCTGAAGATAAATGGATACTATTTCATCATAATGCTTCATCATACTGTACGCATTTTATGGTTTTAATTTTGTGAACCATCCATTGAGCTTTGGCTGGTATGGAAATGCAATAAAAATAAAAATGCAGTGATGTTAAGAACTGATTATTCTCTAAAAACTATCTCATTTTAGCCATGTTAAAATTATCTTTTAATTAATGACTCAATTTGTTCATCTCTCAAAAATCAAATTGCGCGCTCTCTCTCTCTCTACACACACACACACCACTTTTACATCAAATGTTGCAAAAAAGTTGGATAATGATAATAGAATATAGATAAAACAGATTTTTTATTAAAACATAACAACAGATCAATTTAAACACAATTAAAAACAGCAAGAATAAGTTCACAGTCTCTTCTCTGTAGAGCTTCACATTTAGAAATGGAATATTCTGTTCCAGATTTTAACTTCCTTTGACCCTGTCATTTTCTTTTTTTTCAGTAACCCCTCACACCCAGTGCAGACTCAAACTGTTGAAACTGGAAAGAATCAAGGATTACCTTTTGATGGAAGAAGAATTCATCAGAAACCAGGAACAAATGAAACCTTTGGAAGAAAAGCAAGAGGCAAATATTGAAAAGAGAATTATTCCCCTTACCTGCCCCTTCTCCAGTTGCTATGTTTGTTTTAGGGTGTTAAATTGTTTCACTGTAGTGCAAGTCACTGTTATATACTTTTCACTTTCTCCATCTAACACTACAACCAGTATGCTGGGACACAGGTCAGAAGTGTAAGGGAAAATTGTAAGTGAATCTGGGCAGGAGGTCCATGGCATAGCCATAATAAAATGTATTATTTTTATATTCCCCCCTTTTTCCTTGAAGGAACTCAAGGCAGCTTACCTAAACCTTCTGTCTATCTTAGCCTCACAGCACCCTTGGGAGGTAGGTTAGGCCGAGTCAGTGACTGGCCCAAAGTCACACAGGGAGCTTTGTGGCCAAGGAAGGACTGCAACCTGAAGCTCCTGGACTCTCATAACATTACATTGGCTTTGGCAGCAGAGATTTTCCTTCTGCTGAGGTAGTTTATCATTGCATGCTGAAGTTTGGGAAGTTCTCACCAGTATCAACTGAAGTGTTTAGCTGATCTGAAATCTTTCTCCTTCAACAAAATGGCTCTCATGTGAGGTCCTTGCCCTCTTAACTTACTCTGCATAGCCATTGGCTGTGTTTTGCAAGTTGATGCTGGCAATGAATTGGGACTCCTGTCATCTTGACTCTGCAGAAGACATAGTCTGGGTTTGCATGTCACAACAATCCATCATGTGTGACTAGCCATGCTGGTTTGTTGTGTTATTTGAACCTGGATTTAGTGGTTTATGTTTGGGCAACAAGCCACCCTGACAACCCACGGCTTGTTCTAGGGGTTCTTTGACTCACAGTGGATTATGTTGTCTGAACACAGGATATTATTCTATCATGGGTTGCATGGATCTGCTGGTGAGCTGCTCAGCAAGAGAAGCAAAAGCTGCTGCTCTTCACTGCCTTGCCTTTGCCATTGTTAGCAACAGCTCTGCTAGCAATAATATTTCATGGCCATGAACAATGCTTCACCACACTTTTGTTCCTACCCCAGAAACTTGTGTAATTATCTTCATAAGGAAACATGCTTTTGTTGGTCTTTTGCAGTTGCATAAGTGTGGAAATATGGCTATTCAATATGTGTAGTCTTGCCTTGTCAGTGGTCTTGTATATTCAGCTCTCAGAAGGAAGTAGGTAGCAAATGGACAGTGACAAGTTTGTATGTAGACTAATTTGTAAGCAGTTGCTAGCTGTCAATTAAAAGTAACACTTGGGCATCCAAAGGGTGGCAACATTAATCCCCTTAGCAGTGCTGGCTTTAAAGGGTTAAATGTACAGATTTCAATATTGTCTTTCAGTATTTCTCTAAGTTTCCAGCTGTGGCAGCAAAGAGAGATAATGAACTCCGTTTTTCAGAGCACTTATTGCTGCTGTTACTTCTGGTTTCTGACAGTTTTTTAAAAATCCTGAGGGGGTGGCTTAATGCGATCCAGTGAGTAGTGCCCCATTGGGTGCATGGGTCTAATTACTGCTGATGCTGGCAACCCATTTTCTTCGTCCATTTGCTCTATTTAACAGCTCTAAGGTTATTTTTTAAGTGATGGAAATATTTGAGCACTTTTTGGACAGGGAAATATGCACAAATTCAATAGATGTCAAGTAAATGCGGGGGAGGGTGGTGAATGGAGTGGGATTTTCCTCTCCATTTATTATCCTGCCATTACATTTCACCGTTTACTTGGCAGCCATTATATGTGCATGTTGCCTAGTCCTGGAAATGCGTATTTCTTTAGAACTGTCAGAGCTGCAGTAATACATTCTCCAAAAAGGAAATTCAAAGGTGGGTGGAGCTAGTGCCTCTCCTTTCTGGAGTGGCTGAAAAAGTGTAGAAAGGTAGAAGGCGACAACAACTGCCAGAGGATTATTTTGCAAAGGGGATTATCAGTCATTTTGGTGCACTTAGTGTCTCTGGATTTTCCCCTTTTCTGGCAACTGAAAGCTGATGCCTGGGCAGCAATTAGCTTGCTTGCAGTCTGGCACTGCCAGTTTCCATGTGCATTAGCTACTCTGGCTCACTCTTTCCTTTCTCACCTGAAACTTACAAGACCATTTACCAAGCAAAATTAAACATATTGGGCAACCACACATGTGCAGATGTACACCTGGGAAAGACTAACAAAAATATTAAAAGATGACAGTTGCACAATTTTCAGGAACCAGAAACTTTAAAAAACCAATTCCACTTTTTTGAAAGCCCCTAAAAAGAAAATAAAAGAAAATCAAAAGGTGTAGTGATTGGAGGGGAGTGGGTGAAATGTGGTAGATTCTGCTGACCCTGGGATAGTAGCTGGAGGATCGGGGAAGGAGCAGAAGAACAAGCTACTGTAAGCCCAGTTGTCTCAGCTTATTCACATGTTGGCTTAGTATGTTGTGTGAATGCACTCACAGATATGGGCAACTCATGACATCTAATTACAGCTTATTTTTGTCTGCAGGAAGAGAGATCAAAGGTGGATGACCTGAGAGGGACCCCAATGTCTGTAGGGACATTGGAGGAGATAATTGATGATAATCATGCCATCGTATCTACATCGGTGGGGTCTGAACACTATGTCAGCATTCTCTCCTTTGTAGACAAGGATTTGCTAGAACCCGGCTGTTCGGTGCTGCTTAATCATAAGGTAATCTATGTGCTCCTTAAAAACTGCACCTGATCCAAAATAGTGAAAGTGGGGAAAGGCAAACGAGCCAACCGTGGCATCTTTCATTTAGAAGATAAGCATTTTGTGAGGAAGTAATCACTTCTCTACAGCTGTCTCCTGTAGTGAATCAAGGAAAAGTGGCCTTAGAGACCAGTTGCTGGGCTTGTTTGTAGTCAGTAGTGCGACAGAGTCTTTAATATGCAATTAGAGCCGAAGTGTGAACCTGTGCTTTGAACTGTACAAGGATCATAAAGCGCACCCTGCTTGTCTGCAGGTAAGACTGCAGCAATCTGTTGCATTCTTGGGCATCACTGCTTGGATCCCACTGATGTCTGGTGAATGGGTTGGTCTCACAAACTCATCCTGAGTGCAGCCGCACCCCTAGTCATGGTCAGAACCCAGCTAGTGGTAGCCAAGAGTAGCACAAAGGCTGATCTGTTTTATGTGCATACTGGAAAACTCTGCACAGTGTGTCCTCAGTTATTACACTGTACTTTGGAGCAGACAGAAGCAGCCCAGAACTTCCTGTTCCACAGCTTAGCATGATGTGACAGAATGGTTGCCCATCCTTCCCCAAGTCATCCCTGTACACAGGTGGGGTGAGATGAGGTCTCATGAGATCTCCCCCTCCCACACCCAATTAGTTCTCTCCAATTCACAGAGACCTCTGGGGAAAGGATTGCTCTGGTCCTGAGCATCCTTGTCAGAGGAGCTGGGCATTTGTCACTGGTAAGCAGATTTCTAGAGCTGATCGTGACCTTGTGAACTGTAATGTCCTTAAGGCCTCGCTCGTAATTGGTTTGTCAAACACTCAAATTAATGTCCTTTTGTCCCAAGCAACATGCTTTTTAATTTATTGTGGCTGCTACCTGTCATTCTGATTTAGGTTCATGCTGTCATAGGAGTCCTGATGGATGACACAGATCCTCTAGTGACTGTGATGAAGGTGGAGAAAGCGCCTCAGGAGACATATGCAGATATTGGAGGCTTAGATAACCAGATTCAAGAAATCAAGGTATTCAAGTTTCTGGCAGATAAGTTTATGTTGTCATACAGTGGTAGACCCTCACTTAATTTTTTCTTAAAAGTTGTTATGTAAAACCTCCATTGGTATTTTTTTCAGAGATCTTATGCTCAGTAACATAAAGCTCCTGTGGTGCCTTGAGTAACTCAGCTACACAGAGTTGAACCACTTACCACAACACTTCAGTATTCTTGTCCTTGGGAGAAGGGAGACTAGATGTGATGAGCCATAATTTTCAATGGAACTGGTTATTCTGATGCCAAATTTGTGTTGCATTTCCTTTCAAGCTGCAAATCTGCCTCTGTTGTAGCTTCCAAGCATGGCAGTTACTCCAGAGCAGCACAAATTTTGGTCTCTTGCCTGTTAAAATCCAGTGGTTTGAATTCAGACTAAGTCATACTTAGAGCAGACCCATAGAAATGAATAGGGCTTAGTCATTTGCACTGTGACTTTAAGTGGGTCTAGCCCACTTCAGATGTTTATGTTTGGATGTGACCCGACACATGCTTGAGCTTTTGCCTCGCCAAGAAATTGCATTCATTTTTAAATTTCCAGTCTTGGTCATTAAAGTGTTGCCTGGTCTGTGTTTTTTCAGCTGAGAAACGCCTTAGTGCCTGTTTCCTTAGACGGTAGAGTACTTTAAGGACCTGCCTTTTCTCCTCTATAGGAATCTGTGGAGCTTCCATTGACCCATCCTGAGTATTATGAGGAAATGGGAATCAAGCCACCCAAGGGAGTAATTCTTTATGGACCACCTGGCACAGGTATTACTCAGTGTTTTCCTTCTTCATTTCACATCTAGTTTGCTATATCTGTATGTAACACACACGTTAAACAAAAACAACTGCTGTGAATTCTCCATGTTTGGCCTGTGGCTCATGCTGTGTCCTGGGCATTCTGCCTTCAGCTGGAAGCAGGTCATTGCTGTCACCCCTGGCATTTTCTTAGGTGGTCTACAGTAACATGAGTGGGCTGACAGCAAATGTATTTTCAGTTGCTTTCCTTCGTACTGCCCATGTTGAAGTACACATTAGTAAAGAGATCGGTCAGGGGTGTGTGTGTGTGTGTGTTTAACAGCAGCGAATAACTATGGCCTATCTGGGGCTATTTTCACTCCCAGTCATTCTGGGAAGTAGTGCTTAACAATCTTGTAAATAAAAGTTAAGAAAAATAATAAAAGATTGTTTTTATTTTAACAACAACAACGTTGCATTTATATCCCACTTTTTTCCCCTCTTGTGAGGAACCCAAGGTGGCTTACAATGCCAACCATGTGAACTGTGTTGGGTGAGAGTTGGTGACTGGCCCAGTAAGCTTCATAGGCAAGCAGGATCTAGAACCCAGATCTCCCAGGGTTCCCCAGTTCAACACAGTAAACAGCAAGCTGGACTGGCTCCTGCCATTGGGAGTACTGCATGGGAGTGCAGTAAATTTTCCAGGCAATTTACTTCTGTAGCTCAAGCAAGATGGTATTTATTTATCAAAACAGACCACCTAACTATCTTAGTCTGAACTGAGAGCTAAGTAACTACGAGAGAATCCACTGGGATTTACTTTCTCAATCAGGGAAGGGACAGAGCTTGTTGGGCTACAACTCCCATCATATTTCACCATTGGCTTTCCTAGGCAGGTCTGTTGGGAGTTGCTGCATACACTGTTTGGAGGGCCTCCCACACCCCATTCCTGTTCTAAATCTTCAGTTCATTCCTGTGACCCATTCATAAAAGTGGATTGTAATGGCTAGTCTTTCCAGTAGTGTACATTTTAGATCCATTCTGAAAATTGCTCGGGGCTTGGTCAAGCATTACGTCCTGAAATTTAGGAGGTGGAACTAGACTTGCATATACTTATACCCTGTCCTCCCCTTCCTACACTTCAGGAAGGTGTATGCAGGAGCAAGGAGGATGTAGTAAGATCCAGGGGGCTGATGACAATAGTATTTCTCTGGTATTTACCAGGCCAGATTTTACTTTCTGCCTGGAAATGGTCATTGAATGAACAGAAGGCAATAGCCTCACAGTAGGCTTGGGAAGCCATGTCTGACCAGCTGGAAATCTATCAGTACTTCCAAGGAACTTGCCTACGGTGTGATCCTTTGCACGTTTAGTTGGGAGTCCTGCAACTCAAAGTATTCCCCACCCAGCATGGCTGGCTTGGGAATGTTGGAAGCTGGGGGGCGGGTTCTGTCTGTACATGCTTAGCAGTGTGCCCTAAACTGTTCATTGGCTTAACCTCAATCTGTTATAGGTAGTATGGGAACTTCCTAAGAAGTCAGCATTGTATCAGTGAATATGTACCTGTATAATGCAGATGAGCCACAGTTGCTTTAGGTGGTAACCTCACCATTGTTTTCAAAATCGAACAGGTAAAACACTGTTAGCCAAAGCTGTGGCCAATCAGACGTCTGCCACCTTCCTGAGAGTGGTTGGTTCTGAGCTTATACAGAAGTACTTGGGAGATGGTCCAAAGCTTGTTCGTGAACTGTTTCGTGTAGCCGAGGAACATGCCCCATCAATTGTCTTCATTGATGAAATTGATGCAATAGGTACCAAAAGGTAGGAGTTTGCCGTTTCCATGTGAGACATAACAAATACATTTCTGTGAATTGGTTTTCATGCTTTTCTTCCAGCTTCCTGACTGACGGGGGTTTATGGGTCCAAGAGATGGATTGTCTGCTGTCCCCTGCTTCCCTAAAGAACCTTTTCCTGTGTCCAAAGGCTTTTGCTAGAATCCTGATGGTCCCAACTTTCATTTTGAAAAGTTTCTAGCCTTCATGGCCTGAAGAAATAATGGTGATGAATTCTAATGTGGTATGGAGTATTGCAGCCTTTGCTTTAGCTGATCAGTTTGTATATTTGTAAGTAGGTGGAAAAGACAGGGACCCTGCACTACAAAGGGAATTTCAGCTGGGGCAGCATAAATGGCTGTGAAGGGCACAGCAGCCCTGCCTTATTTTCCACCTGGTCACCTTGTTTGAAGCAGTCCTGTGGCAGTTATCACTGGAGTCTAAAGGGGTTGCTCCACAGCATGTTGTGGAGAAAATGGGTTTTGGTATTCTATGAGAGGGAGAGAAACGTATCGCTCTGTCATACCAGAACCTGAGTCATCCCATGAAGCTGATCGGTGGGAAATTCAGGACAGATAAGTATATCTTCACATATTACAGTGTTAAACTATGGAATTGACTTCCACAATGTGTGGTAGTGGCTGCAGTTTGGATACCTTTAAAAAAGGATTAGACAAACTCCTGGAAGATAAAGTTATCAAAGACTGAGTCCAGATGCTCCCTCCAGTATCAGAGACAGTATGCAGGGGAACATGAGCAGGTGCCACTCTTGTCAGGTTTGTGGCCTTCCAGTGGTATCTGATTGGCTGCTGTGGGAACACAGTGCTGGACCAGATAGGTCTTTTGTCTGCTCCAGCACAGCTTTTCTTATGTTCTTCGAATGGCAGTTGATAGTGAATCACTGGATTACTCTGAAATGTAGCTCTTTTAAATAGTACATGTAATCTGAGTGCAGTAAAGCACTTCTTCATACCTGAGGATTTTTTATTTTTTATTTCATTTATTAATTGCCTATAAAATAAATGTCTGCATACATTTTACAGTTTAACTCATCACAATAATTCAAATGAAACTGCAGCAATGTTCAATGTAAAACCAATATACAATGAACAAATAGCCCAATAATGTATAAAATAGATCACCATTAGAGGTAAGACCATAGTGCATGGACTAAAAGATGGGCAGAGTGATCTAATGTGACTGTCCATAGCTCTCCAGCTTCAGAGGATTGCAGGCACTAATGGAAGGAGAAAGGATGAGGAAAAATAACCTCCATGCTTCCGATGCTTAGACTGCCATTTTCAGTGCCTAATTCTTTTGTCCTGCTTGCAAGGAGTACAGGCTGAGGTGCCTCCAGGATACATCACATCCTGACAGAACCTCACACACCAAACACTGGCTCTGAGGTCTGCCTTGTGACCTTGGAACTGTAGCTGATGCAAAAAGAACCACCGTGGCTGTGAGGGCAGAGCAGCGCAGAGCAAGCCTTAACATGAGGGTTAAGGCTTTGAGTTCCACCTCTCCTATGGCTGGCTAGACCACATCTACTAGCCATAGCACTTGTGCCCTGAAACCCCAAAATACTTTAAATATAAAGTTTTCTCTTATCACTGAAAAGGTAACAATGTGGGTGCCTGGCAAGTTTTGTTTAGAGTGTCATGCCATTTTGCATCAGTTTGAATCCACCTTCTCCACTGAGTTGGGGAATTTAAACATGCTGACCTCATTATGTACTACAGGCTGTAGAAACTGGTGTACTTTAACCAAAGCAGTTCCAGTAAAAACTTGAGAATATGCTGTTTTGGGGGGAAAAGGAGTTCTCATATTTGCTGTTAATTTCTTGATGACTTCCTTGCATGTGAAAGGGGATGTTGTCTTCCCTGAATACTGCTCAGTGAAATTTATTTTTGTTTTATTCCTTTTCTTTCCTCCAAAAGGTATGACTCAAATTCAGGTGGTGAAAGGGAGATCCAACGAACAATGTTGGAGTTGCTCAACCAATTAGATGGGTTTGACTCACGCGGAGATGTAAAAGTGATCATGGCCACAAACAGAATAGAAACATTGGATCCAGCCTTGATTAGGCCAGGTAAAAATAGAGTTGCATGTTCTTTTTTCCAGTTTCATTTATTACATGTACTACTTGGCAGTGATTTCTAAGTTAGCCACTCATCTCTTTTCTGTTCCTTGGACTTTATTCTATAATGTCATCACTGTATATGACACATCACAGATTTAAAAAATTCAGGTGCCTCAACTCACAGGAAGGGTGATCAGCTGGTGTTCTGCCAAATCTTTTGGCCTACAACTCCTGTTATCCCTCATTATTGGTGATGCTGGCTAGGAGTGGTAGGTTAAAACATTTTGAGGCTTTTAGGGCAGACTTTTGATAGAAACATAGAAAACAGAGCGAGTCAGAAGGGGGTCTCCCGGGCCATCTAGTCTGACCTCCGGCACCAGCCGGCTCCGCTCACGACATGCCCACCATGTGGACGTCCAGCCTATCCTTGAACACCCGCACCGATGGGGCCTCAACAACCTCTCGTGGAAGCCCATTCCACACCCTCGATGTCCTGACTGTCAGGAAGTGCTTCCTGGCATCCAAACGAAACCTTGGCTCCCTGAGCTTTGCTCCGTTGGAGCACGTTCTGATATGAGGGAGATGACAAGGAGTGGAAAGAGAAGCAAATGCCATTGCCGCTATTGGAACTTAGGCACTCGTCTAAGGACACCCAACACAAGTACCTTGCTTGAAGCTCATTAGAAATGGATCTCATCAGGGCTGGAGTGCAAGATGGCCTCAGAACTTGTAACTTGTGAGGTCCATGGAAGGAAGGACAGATGGAAAGCTATAGATAAAATAAACAGAATTGCAATCATATGGTACTTGAAATAAGGCATGTTTAGCTCCTGTTAATCAGAGAAAATATGGCAGTTGTGATGTGGGAAAATAGGTGCCTAATAGCACAACTGTGGGACAGCATACCAGCATTTCCCAAATAATCACCTTCCATTTAAAAAAAAAAAAAAGGCTTGGCCCTACTGTGGAGCCCCCTGTCAGGAGAAGCCTTTCCCTTTTCTCCTTCTAGCAAAAATCTGAGCTGGTGGAAATGTTCTCATCCTCAGGACGTATTGATAGGAAGATTGAATTCCCTCTGCCAGATGAGAAAACCAAGAAGCGTATCTTTCAAATTCATACCAGCAGAATGACCTTGGCAGATGATGTTACTCTAGATGAGCTGATTATGGCTAAAGATGATCTGTCTGGTGCAGATATTAAGGTAAGAGCCATTAATTCCCAAGGAGACAGCCATTTTTTCAGAATTACAGCCTGATCATGTTCAGCCTTACTCATAAGTAAGTTCTACACAGTGAAGGTGAAGAACCACTTTACCCTAAGGGTCACATGTCATTTCAGAGATGTTCTCAGAGGCTGCATTCCGGTGGGTGCAGATCCAAAGGCAAAAGGGATGGGGCCAGAAAAACACAACTACCAGTCACTTTTAGCTTACAGTTTTTTTACTACTGCTAACTAAGTCTTAGAAGAGGCATTTCAACTTTTTAGAAGGAGGGGGAAACTGCAGAAAATTTAGCATCTGCAGTTGGGGCAGAGAGGGTGGGAAGAGGGGAAAGAGGCGTGTTGTTTGGGGAATTCTAGAGAGCTCTGGCTGTTAGGTGGCATAGAAAAGTAATAAATCATAATTTATAAACTTCAGCAGGCCAGACTGGCCCTCCTGGTAGACTTTAATTTCTGTACTCTTGAAGTACAGTGCCTCTTAAGGCAAGGGTGTGTTTAGGACTGCAGTTTTAGCTGGACAGCGTTGCAAAGAATTACCAAAAGCATGCTTGAAATTTGTTTCTGTGGTATTTGGTATTAGTGAGATACATAACTTCCTAACCAGAGCCTTCCCTCTCTGGCAGGCAATTTGCACAGAAGCAGGCTTGATGGCTCTACGGGAGCGGAGAATGAAAGTAACAAATGAAGACTTCAAAAAATCTAAAGAAAATGTTCTCTATAAGAAACAAGAAGGCACCCCAGAGGGCCTGTATCTTTAACTTCCTTTTGTGTTGGGTTGGAGAACTATTGTTGGAACCTTCTCTTCAGAGTACATAAAAAGATGAGACATTAGTGGGCAGAAAGCAAACTGGTAATTGATTGACGCACATTAAATGGATTCCTCTGTATTGTGCTTTAGTCAGTGTAGTGCAAAACATTAGTGTAAAACTTTTTATTTGTCATTAAAACATTTTGTTTTCAAGTGAATTGGAATGATTGGGTTAAAATGTAAGCAAATATTGTTTCTGAGGCATATGCTCCAGACTTGATCTGGACTACTGTCACCACAGTTTAAGAAAGATGCTGACAAGCTGGAAGGAGTTCAGAAGAGGGCAAGAAGGATGATCCAGGGACCAGAAACAAAGCCCTCTGAGGACATATTGAAAGAGTTGGGCATGTTTAGCCTCAAGAAGAAAGACCGAGGGGAGATTTGATAGCATTCTTTAAGTACTTGAAAGGTTGCCACCATGCAGAGGAGGGTCAGGATCCCTTCTTGATCATCCCAGAGTGCAGGACACAGAATGCTGGACTCAAGTTACAAGGAAGCCAGGTTTCGGCTGAACATCAGGAAAGACATTCCTGACAGTTAAGAGCAGTAAGGCAGTGGGACCAATTACCTAGAGGCATTCAAGATGCTGATGGGCAGCCATCTGAGTAGGATGATTTGACTTGGTGTCCTGCTCAGAGCAGGTGGTTGGACCCAATGGCCTTCTGACCCCTTTTAACTCTTACTATTTTGTGATTCTGTCCTGCTGCCCTTTAGTCCACAAGTATATTGACATCTCCCTTTGCTTCTGTAATCCTTCTGTAGTTAATTATGACACTTAACATTCAGGCTGTAATCCAGTGGCTGCCCAACTTTGTTTGGCAGCATGGATGCATGGGATTATTTAGACTCCCAGTTCCATAGTATTCTAACCACAGAACTGGGACTCTGAACTTGCGAGACCCCCCACCCTGCCACCCTCTCAGTCAGTGCAAAAGGAACCACTGACCTCAGAGCTAAGGGTGTCTGCAGTGGGAGGGCAAGGATAGATAGGGGCTGGGGATGGCACCCCAGCCTGCTGCCCTTGCCTTTTGCTACACTTTTCCCAGACAGGCCAAAATGGCCACCTAGATAAAATACAGGACATGAAATGTGGGGCAGCAGAGATTGCAGCTGCTTCACCTCATCTTGCATTAGATCTGTGTACATGCATTGTGTGTGGAGGACTTGAGATTGTGTCCTGAGTCCAGGAGCTCCTAGAAGCAGTGGCTAAATGAGCAAAAAATAACATGTATTCACAAGCTGAGATGATGCTGAAATAGCAATGCAGGAAGCACCTGCTCTGGGGAAGATTCATTCAGAGAAGCTGCCAAAAAAATCCAGGGCAGCTGTCCAGGAGCGGTAAGATGCACCTGAAACAAAGTGACTTGGATGGCTGAACAAAAATGGGTTTCATTTCTTCCACGCCCACAGCATGTCAGCTTGATAAAGTGCTGATAGGTGGAAGAAGGGTCAGATTGCCTTTGGACAAAGGTTGGTTGGTGAAAGTCTAAGCTATATTAGTCCCAAATAAAAAAAGGAGGACTGTAAGTTTCACTGGTAAACTGATACTCAAAATGGTAGAAGTGCTGGCTTTTGAGTGTAATTCAAGGATTCTTCAGTCTATTTTTAAGTCACAGGTAAAGAAAGCCATGGTATGATTATCATTCTGCTTGCCTGTTTCAGTAAGATGCAGCTTGTGGCAGTAAAGTTTTACACATGCTAAGCATAGGCATTACTAGTCACTTAATCAGAAATGGGCAGTGGTAGAGTATTTGATCCAGCTTTCAGAAGAGTGTTAGCCATGTGGGCAGAAGGCTCCATTGGCTCCAAAAGCATGGTGGGCATAGGCTGGTGTGGTGCACCTTCATCCCTGCTGGCCATTCATACTGCCTGCCTGCCTGCAGTGAAACCAGACACAATCTACCTGAAGAAGGCATGTAGCATCTGCACTGGCTCTCTACCTAAGAGATAGTACTGAAATTAGACAAGGTCTCTTCCCATACAATGGAAAGCTACACAACCTTTCTTAACATGCATCTAAGAAGTTGCCTGCTCCCAAGATACATCTTGCTACTGACAGAGAAACTGGTCTGCATGGGCAAATGCTCTGAAAAGCCTACCAGCAGGCTATAAGGAAAAATAACTATAGCCGCTGCCTTCCTGTTCATCTAACTATCATCTGCAGCTCCATTTTATCAGTAGAATGTTGTGTGTCCTCTTTCTCTCGCTGCCCATTTTATAGGCTCTTGTGCATTGCTAAGAATTTTGGTGCCACCAGCATTGTTTGTAATTCTCAGTGTGAGCCAAAAGGGTGCCAACTGGGGAGGTGAGTACAAAATGGTGAGGCGGTTCACTTAAACCTGACTCCTTTTCTAGTAAGTCTAGTAGGATTTGCCTTATTAGTATTTAACATGTGGGAATGATGCAGTTGGGAATTGCTGTTGGCAATAAACTTGCCGGTAATCCCTTCCCCTGGGGAATCCTAAAATTAGCTCTGAAATGGAAGGAAATGTGCATCAAGCTGTTTTGTGCACCCAAAAAACTCCTACCCTGATGTATGCATTTTTCAAAACTGCAGGGGGTGTATTTTGCCTCTCTGCTGTGCTGCACAGGCAGCATTAACTGGTAGCAGATTCCCTCCACTCCTGAATTGTGAAGAATGTGTTCTAAGCCTGAGGGGGTTTCTCGTGGCTCCAGTAAACAATTTAAGCCATGCAGAAAGCAATTTGCTTTTGTATTATTGCAAGCTTGACAAGGCAGCCTGTGACAGAATTCAAAGTACTAGAAATAGATGTTGCCAGAGGAGCATAATCACAGTGCTGCTGAGAGCAGATGCCCTCTTGCTGATTATATTTCAGTGACATAAGCACCATCTATTAAGCATTCTGTCCCCCTGTTTGCTGTAGGTTACCTGTGGTTACAAACACTTATTTGACACTGACAAACAGAACTCTTTGGTTATACACATACTACTTACCCAGTGGGATAACATCAGGTTAATCAAGCTTGCTTGCTCTGTTGCCAGAAAGGCCAGTGTTCTTCATGCATTAGCCTTGCACTGCTAAGTTTCTCACTGCTGGCTTTAAACATAATTAAAACTTGGCTGGCACCAGTCTTAACCATAATAGAAGTGAGTCGGGATTCACAGCTAAGCAGGATTTGAAACAAGCATCTCAAGCCTGATTAGCAGTAACTGTTAACTCTATGCCATCATAAATTTTAACTATGTGTAAGGCTGATGGAAGGAAGTTGCACCAGAGGGGAGCACACCAGCTATGGGGATGAGGAGCATTTTCTGTGCATTAGACCCATTCTATTTGTTGCTATTTTAAGCCCTGTACAATCCTGCTTAGATAAGTCACACACATATTAGGAAGCAAAATCACAGGTGATCATAAATGGCTAATAGTTTGAAGGAAGAGGGAAAGCTACTGAGTAGTGCAAGCAATAGATTTCCATGCCCAGTTAATATAGCTTGGGTGTGTGACTTGCACCTCTGCAGGTTTAAACCATGTTGAAACCTGTACTGAATGCCAACTTTATCAAATCAATAAAATCAAATTGGAGAGTGCCTGCATTCTCTTTCTTCCCAGAATGCCATATAGGTTCTTTGAATCTTCAGAGTACTGTAGTGCTCAGATCTCCATGACTATCAGTCAGCATAGTTAAACAGGACATTTTTGCCACTGGCATATACCCACACTACATAAAGCCAAAAGGCAAAAAACTTAAATTTAAAAGTATGTTCCACCGATTTCAGTGGAAGTTGTTTTCAAATGAACGTGCCTAATAGCCCAAATTATGATTTACTCATGCTAATATGCTGTGCCTCTCATCTCAGAAGGGCAGAACCAGAAAAGTAGACAAATGGTTGCCAACAAACTTTATGGTTCACCCTTTGAAGACGCAGAATCCTCTGCCCACCCTAGCTGATGATGGCCACTGAAGAGAATTCCTCTCTTTCCATGGTTATTTTGGCTCTTCGGCAGTCTAGTTAATGGCCTGCTTGTGATCAGATCTCCTAACACCAGAACTAAATACTTTTGCAGTTTGCCTGTTATCAGCTTGTATTAGATTTCAAGTCAACTCAAAGTTAGTTTTTAACTGTACCTGGCAGAAATTGCTGCAATATATTACTTATAGAATAACGGATAATTAAACAAAGGCTTTAATGACTTACATTGTTTCCATTGGGATTTTAGCAGCATAAATACAACTGTCCCCACTTCTTCTGATAGGGCAGAGTAACTGGAAAGCCCAAAGGATATGATGATATCCAGACAGTTCCATAATTGTTACCATGTTTCTAATCTTGACATAAACAAAAGCAACCAGTGCCCAGGTTCTTGTTCAAACACATCTACTAATAAATTGTTCCCATTCTCTGGGTGTACATGTCTGTCTACTCCTAATTTCAAACCCTGCACAGATACTGTGTTTTGTTGTGGTTGTAAATCTAAACCAACAAAGTAGATGTTTTAGCAGCTTCCAGACAATGTTGTTTCCGTGCCTGAGTGTATGAAATTACTGCAGTGACTCCAGCAGCATGTGAAAGCTCAGCCAGTGCACCAGAACTATGGACTGTATAAAATACAAATAATTCATTGGCCTTCACTCTTATTAAAGGGGGGAAGGGAAGCGATGGTCAGAAGGCAGTTTATGATGAGGCTCTTCTGCTAGAGCTGACTGGCTTCCTCCTCCCTGTAATGTTGCCATCAGAAAATTAACTTCAGTTTTAATTTTGAGAATCAGTTTAATACACTCTGTAGTTTCAAATGGGAATGTTTTTACTGGACTGTCCCACATCAGGCTGCAGGATAGAATACTCCTGTATTTTTATATTCCTTGTTTTGCTACCTCAAGCAAGCAGAAAACTCTTTATCAGAGGTGTGAATGATTCATATTTTTAAATACAGAGATGATCCTACTGACTGAGGCTATTCACTGACCCATTTCACATGTCATGACACAAAGTTGCGGGATATTTTACCCACAGTTTGCAGGGATCTGAGCCACTTCCGGTTTGTATAAACAATCTAGAAACACCTTTTTGTAGGTTGTTGGTCCAACAAATGAACCCAGCCAGTATAAACAACCCAGAGTTCACCTACACTTCATTGTTAGGCTAACTTCGGGTTGTTCAACCTATAAGCAATCCGGAGTACCCAGGTTTGGACTTCATTCTAACACCCTACAAATGGGGAGTCATAGTTCATTAGCGCAAACTGAAAACAGCTCATACACAGTGCATGGCCTGGACAATCATGGATTGGCTAATTGATCTACAACTTGTTTTTGTGACGGAAGAACTGACCCTACGTCTATCAAGGTAATTTGTGTCAGAAAAAACAGTCCTTCTGGTTCATCATCCCTATAATCTCTAAATGCATCCGATGCAACTGAGAAATTTTTCCCCATGCTTCCATAGGGAAAGAGTAGAAAGGTTACTTTTAAAAGCCTGAATATTTTTTTAAAGGCAAGATATTTAAGTGTGTAGTACTGTTGTATAGCATTATTTAGCTTTTCGTTTTTAGTTATTCTCCATCCCCCTGTACATGCATTGTTAACAAACTTTCAGTGGACAGTAGTCTTAAGTTACAAAATGTCACATTTATTACAGGAGGGCCCAACATTTGTTCTGACAGCTGTAACTATGCAATGTCAGGTGGGAGCAACTGAAACATTAAGAATACTTAATTAAAATGGAATTGCATAATATGTACACTCTGAAAGACTCCACACTCAACAAAGGCCATTTTTTACAAGCATATTTACAATAAAACTATAATTTGTCATAATGTACTGATAAAAAATCCAGTTACACAAGGTTTCTTTGCTACCTTGTGAACTGCCAAATTAAGTACGTATTACCATGTGTACAGTTCTCTACAGAGTGTTGTGAAAATTGGCGGATTGTCACCTATGAAACCACAGTCAACTGGAAGGAAAAAAACTACTAACAACTGTGTTAGTTATCTCCCCTGTATTCCTTGTTACAACATTTTGCACATGTCTTGACTGTTTACTAAAAGCATTAAAGTCCACTTGGAAGCTTATTATAAGGTAGGCATGATTTCATACCCACTTTTATATTTAATGAAACCAATGTGCTCACATGAGAAAAGATATAACAGAAAACTCTTTCTTACGTGTTACAGATGCAAGGAATACCCTGAACGTTTCCTCCCATTGTATATAGAGGTCACATTAAACCAAAAGCCACTTTTAAGTCTCTCATCTTCATATCATTCTTTAGTCTTCAAGCAACAGCTCCAGTTCTTCTATGGGGACCCGGACTCTCAATTCTTTCTCAGTCATAAGGTCAAGTGTCTCATGCAGTTCATTTGGAAAATATTCTATGGCATCCATATATAGCACCTAGGAATGCATTAAAATGAAAGCTATCAGCTCACCATTCTTCTGGAAAAGCAAGTAAAAACTAGTCTTCATCTGATAAAAGAGCATTTTCATAGCCCTTGTGGTTGTCAAACATACATGTACAAGGGGTGGGGGAGAAACTAGTATGGCCTGGTTAAAAAATAGCACCTATCAAGGCATCTATGGAGGAAGCCAACTGGGATGCTAACTCATCCTTCCCCAAACCTGTTACACCTCATATGCTCTGGAATTCAACTCCCATCAACAGCTATGCGGACTTGGCCAAGGGTGTAATCCCCTGCTGAAGTAGGAAATACACTACTTTCCATGCCTCCCAATAGGTAGCCATCTAGACAGCTGCACTGAGAAGTTTTCAAGTCATCTTTTTTACCCTCTGCTTCCCTGCACCGCCCCACACACAAAAAAAGAAATTTTTTAAAACCTACTTTTGCCCAAGGACAGTTTTGAAGTGCTCTATAAAACATCGCTTTACTTTTTTCTTTCTCTCCCAAGGAAACCTGAAAAGACAATATTTGCATTTTGAACACATGAGGTCTTTTTAAGGCAAAATTCTATGTACACAAAATGTTATTTTTATTTAAAACTGAAGATCCCAATTGAAATTCTGGGAGACCTCATTAAGGAGCTCATTCTAAAGAAGAGTTTATTAATATTACATGATGCAGGAGTCCCTGTCTTAGGTGAACTGTCAGGTCCTTTGTTTTCTGAATCATTGTTTATATGTACAAGAGAGACAGCATAAAATTTTCAGGAGACAATCTACAACTCACTACTCTGAAAATGCTGCCTCTCCAAAGGCAATAAAATATTTTGTACTATGTGGAAGCAAGAACATTTACCAGCCACTCTTTTGGTAAAAAGGGTTACATACAGGTTCCTTAATCTTCCAAACATTAAAATCCATGCTGAACAGCATGCAGCCATAACTGTCAAGCACTTCTGAACCCCACTGATTTTATAAGAGCATACCTTTACCAGTGTATTTAACTCTCTCACTGAAATTACTGAAAATTAGAACTATTCTATATTTCTTTGGATTGAGCGCTACTGCTCATGTTGACAAAAAGAGGCAAGATGCTGAGCTAAGTACGTATTTAAAAATAATTAGATCCCTTAAAATAATTAGTTCCACAAGAATGAACAGTGATATTAGAGAGAGGAGGAAGAGGGTCAAAATCTACCTTCCAGTCCAGCTGCTCCTTCTGAATACTGACCAGCACTATTGCCAGTATTTTAACTGAAGCTACAGGCATAGGGGTTGCTGTCCATACACATCCTTTGGCTCAAACAGGACTTTTGTCTGCATATTCTTTCTGCCATTTCTCACCATTCAGTATCCTTTGCTTCCAGTAAGTTAAAGGGAGCATAAGCAAGAATGGCCAAGGGGCTGAATGGTGCCAGTGCTGATCACAGGCTATGGCAGACCACAATATCAAAGAACCATAGAATAGTAGAATTGGAATGGTCCAGAGGGCCACTGGCTCAAACCCACTGCTCAGTGCAGGACACCAAATTAAACCATCTGTCTCCGATGGCTGCCTCTTAAATGCCTCCAGTGTGGGAGAGCCCACAACCGCCCTAGGTCATGGGTTCCATTGTTGTACTGCTCTAACAGTCAGGAGAATTTTCCTGATATCTAGCCAGAATCTGGTTTCCTGTAACTTGAGCCCACTATTCCATGTCCTGGGATAATCAAGGCGAAATCCTGTCCTTCCATTTTGTGACAGCCTTTCAAGTACTTGAAGAGTGCTATCATATCACTTCAGTCTTCTCTTCTTGAGGTTAAACATGCCCAGTTCTCTCAATCTTTTCTCATAGGGCTTTGTTTCCAGTCCCTGAATCATCCTTCTTGCCCTCCTCTGAACTCTTTCCAGCATGTCTGCATCTTTCTTAAACTGTGGTGCCCAAAAGTGGACACAGTACTCCAGATGAGGCCTCACCAGAGCTGAGTAAAGGGGTGCTAATACTTCACAGGATTTGGAAATGATACTTTTATTAATGCAGCCTAAAATAGCATTTGCCCTTTTTGCAGCCACATCACATTGTTGACTCAGCTTGTGATCAACAATTCTACGATACTTCTCCCTTGCAGTATTGTGGAGTCAAGTATTCCCCATCTTGTAACAATGCATTTGATTTCTTTTTCCTTGGCGCAAAATTTGGCATTTGTCCCTAATGAATTTCATTCTGTTGTGTCCAGCCCTGGACTCCAACCTGTCAAGGTCACTTTGAATTTTGCTTCTGTATTTCAGGGTATTAGCTATTCCACCCAATTTTGTCTTCTGCAAATATGATAATTGTTTCCTGGGGTTCCTCATCCAAGTCAGAGCACTGGGTCCAGAACTGAACCCTGTTGTGCTCCACTTGTTACCTCTTCCCGGTGTGAGAAGGTGCCATTGATGAGCACTCTTTATTTTATTATTGTTTCAATTTATATGCCACTACATTCGCCCACACTTGGGCTGTTGGAGTGGCTTACAGAACATTTTTTAAAATGACATTTTAAAATCTATAAAATGGAACCTTAACATTAAAACTCAAAAATATAAAAAAATCAAATACAACAAATTAAAAATCATTACATAAAACACTTAAATAAACATTTTAAAATTATGATAGAACTGTAAGACAAGACTAGAGCCAAGTTAAAATCATGTGTTGACACTAAAATCAAGTTTTAAAATAGCCAGATAAAAGATATTTATCTGGTGCCAAAATAACAATGATGATGCCAGGCACAGCCCTCTGGGGGCGCTGTTCCAGAAATGGGTGAGAAGGCCCTTCTTCTAGCCATCATCTCCTCACCTCTCTGGGAGATGGCTCCTTGAGAAGGACACTCTTTGGCTTGTTTTTACGTTGGTTTTTTCAAACAGATATTAAAGTTAACGTTAAGCATGGTTCATTGATTTGGATAACATGAGAGACTGTCATGAAGCAAAAATGGAAACTAAGCACTTCCAAGCTCCTCCATGCAGTCACAGTGAAGGAAAAGGAAGTGGGGGGAAACACAACCCCAAGATCTCTCACCATAAAGGAGATATGTAGCCTCCACAGCAAGGGGCAATGAGCTCCGCTCTCAGTCTCAACTGCATGCTCAAATAAAGCTTTGATTCGATTTGTTAACCCCGTTTCAGGGATTGTTGCATACACGTCTCCAGTAGCAACCCTGAAATGCAGAAAATCCCAAACACAAAAAATCATAAGAGAACCAACACCCTCTTGGTGATCGGGAGCAGGAATTGCACTGGCACACCTTCCCAAGAAAAGGCAGTGAATGCAATAATGATTGCAAATCTTGAGAACAGATGCAACAATGGAAAGTATTTTTGTCAGTATTTTAAAAGGACGGTCTGTTATATTTGTGACAAGGTTCTCTGATGCAGCAAGCTTCCAGAACTTACAGCTTACAAAAAACACCCAAACGAAAAAGGCTCCATAGTAACGATTTTAGCAGACAGACTGAAGTCAGAAAGAGACCACCTTTCTAGTAGTGATAACAAAGAGCTTTACATTTGTAAAACATGTGCACAAGGGACCAGTTAACATATCTGAAGATAACGATCCCTTTCTCAGTTTTGGATTTCCTCAGGAAATGTGGGTGATTTGTGCATCATGATTTCTGAATGTGCGCAAATGCTTGATTTTATCTCCGCTGGGTTGGACATATGGAGTTGCTTATACTGAATCAGACCACAAATCCCCCCATCCTTGTTTCGTTGTCTCCTCTGGCTGACAGCTGCACTCCAGAGTTTCAGACAGAGGCATCTTTCCAATCAGCTGCCTCTTGACTATTTCACTGGAGGTGCCATAGACTGACCCTAAGAGCATATGCATTCAAGGCATGTGCTCTGCCATGGAATAATCCTAATAAAAAGAACTGCCAGTATCAGAATGCCTTTCTACACAGTGTCTCTCCCCCAACTCCGCATTTTGTTCTTTCTACAACCATGGGTGGTACATTATGTTGAAGGAATGACTGGGTCAACGTAATCCAACACTTTACTCAGCAAATCATACACTGGATCATGTCACACAACATAACCTACAGACAAGGTTGAGTGTGGGTTGTTGTGTTGTATGAACCCAGCCATTTAACAAATTATGGTTTGTTAACCACAAACAATTCATAATTTCAAGCCAACAACAAACTGATTTCTCTTTACGGGGTGGTTCCTGGTCAACACCCCATAATTTGTTAGCATGGCTAGATTTCAATAACCCCTTCCAGTTTGAATAATGTGCCATATCCAACCCATATTCAATCCTGAGTGTGGTTGCAAAATGCCCAACCCATATTCAAGGCTAACAAGACTTTATGCCGCTGATGTAAATGGATATCATGTTAAGCTTGGAGAAGAAACAGTGCAGTTCAGTGGCTTCAGGGTTGGGTTTTGACATGAGAAATGTGTTCAAATCTCCACTCCGCCATGGGACTCATTGTGCAGCCTTGAGCAACTATGAGGATAAAATGCTGGCATGACCTCCTTGGAGGAGTGGCAGGATCCAAATGGAATAAATATGTAAATTTTACTCATGTCACAATCAACTGACAGCAACTTGTATGCGGATGATATTACCTCTGGACAGTTTCGACCAGCTTTTTCCTCATTTGCTCTGTTTGGAGTGCGAACAGCCAGGGCTCCAGGGATTTTGTTTTTCTTGTGACCCCATCAAAAAACCGCCGTGTTCTGCTTGCATTGTGAGACTTGCTTTGGATCTGGATGTAGACTCTCCAAAGGGACTGGTTGCTAGGATACATCCTCAATGCCTCCGACAATGTTTCACGAAGGGGATTCAAAGGATATATGGCTTTTTTGGTGTGATAATGGAGCAAACTTGCATGCATCAGTGTAATGGCTTCAAGAGCTGTAGTAACATTCCGATTGCTGAGCCTTTCTCCAAGATTTTCATCTTTCAGCTTTCCGGAAACCTGCCTATATATTGACACTGCAGAGTCAATCCCAAGGGTGAGGTACTGGAAAAGGGAGTAGCAACCAACTAAACCAACAAGGTGGCTGCAACCACTTATCTGTCCTTGATCAGAGGTGGTGCCTTCATTTAAGTAATTCTGAAGAAGATGTTCATAGGTCTTCCGAGCCTTCAAGACACTCACCGCTAACACTTGTCCATTGTAGGGCACATAAGGCCCCTGCTCTGTCAGCCTAGTCAAGATATGAACAGCACGTGACTCAAGAGTTCGCTCTGAACTTCCTAGCAACTCTGCTTCCAGTTCAGCATAAAGGAGGCTGAGATGACAGAACTGCGGATATCTGATCCCAGCACTTCCTGCCATGCTCAGAGACATATCAAAAACTTTTCTAGCATCTTCTATGTTGCCAAGCAGCCACTCCAGATAGGCATAGAGTTGCCAAAGGGAAACATCATTTCTGTTGTCAGGTGCCTTCAGAAGATTCTTGGCCAATTTTTTACTTTTCTTGCCTTGCCATTTTAGTTTCCTTTTGTTCCCTGTTTTCAAACACTGAACAACCTGCAAGTTAGCAAAAATAAATGTTTATTAATAATAATTACATACCACGTAATATAACAAAAGCCCTGTTAATGTTGCCAATTTCTGTGCATTGCCAAAGTAGCAATAGATGGTGTCCCTCATATATGACAACCACCAGAACAGAATAACAGCATCGGAGGGAAGAAAGAGCCCCACTCTCTCAGCACCATGGACTTACCCAAACAAGGAGACTCTCTTGTTCTCTCATACAAGAGACCTACCTGCCCAAGATTTGAGGTCTTCCTTGAAGGCCCTGCCTAAGTAAGGTAGGTGGAGACTGGGAAAAGGGGTTCATTGTGGTGCTCCGAGTATGAAATGGTGTCCCCAGGGACAGCATAGTCACAAAGTTTTGCATCATACCTACGCTCTGTAGTTCATGCACACAACTCTCCACTCCAACCACCCTCTGAATGTTCAGGATTTCAGCTCTCATTAGGCAGCTTGGAGTTGTAGTCCAAATCCTCAGGGGAGCCGTCATGCTGGGGCATGTCCCCTACTCCTTCTCCCCATTCAAACATGCGCCTACAGCCCACTGCTACATATATGCACAGCACACCCACAACCATGTCTGTATAAAGGGTGTAAGCTATGGCAGGAGCTATACCTGGCATTTATTCCAGAACACGCCACCATCCGCATCAGTGTAGGTGATTCCATCCATCAAGCCCCACAGAAGAATAACAGGTTGTAGTCACGAGAACTACAGTACTTCCCTGATGTCCCCAGGTTCTAGGGAAATGCTGACCCATCCCCACCAGTATTTTTGCCTGCAGGGAGCATCTTCATCCTCTCAACTCAGAGGAAGTAAAGGATTTATCACTTTAGTGCTTTCTGCAACACAGAAAAGGGCTGCAGTGGGAACAGTGGGAATGGAAAAGGATCCCCGGTGTGTGCTGTACACAGTGTGTACAGATCCCTGGCGTGTACCCATCCCGAGCAGCTTTTCTCCTCCTTCTAATGAAAGTTGAACAAGCAAGCGAGCTCCAGTGAGGGAAGTGTGTGTACACATTCTGAAAGAGGTGGGGGACCTCTTTCAACCCAAGGGATGAATTCCATTTTGGAGAAGGTCTTGAGGGTCAGAACCACAAATACACATGGCAGTACAGTTTACCTAAAGCTCTTGCATCCAGTAACTAAGCCTTAGGAGAGGCATTCCCACCTTTGAGAAATGGCAGAAAGCCTGGCTGGGAGCCAGGGGAAGTGGCATGGCCTTTTGGGATACCACAGAGAGCTGGACTGGGACACCCAGAGCTCCAGATTTGGCTCCCAGGCATGAGGTTCTGCACCTGCTGTATGGCTTGGCTTGGAAGGGCATAATTTGGAAGGGCTGCTGTGAAAGTAACTTTTCCATCAGTCCTCATGATGTCTATGAACTCCTCAGCTAATCCAGGCAACTCCATGTCAAATGTCTGGGGGACTGGGTGAGATTATAAACAAATACATAGATGTGTTATATGTATGTTTGCTATATGTAATAGACTATGGAGCAGTTTTTGAAAATTACCTTAGAGATTTCATACTGAAGCCAAAAGATGGATAGATTAGATTTCTCTTTCCCTGAAAACAGAGACAGCATCATATGGAAGAAATTCTGTATAAACTCCTCCCCTTCCTTAGGGTGGCCCACATGCCTCTGTTGTTGGACCATTGAGTCCATACGCCCAATGCTACTGACTCCAGAAACTGGCAAATCAAAAGAAGTAAGAGGTCCTTGGGTGTGTAGCCCATTGTCAAATATGTTGTTCTCATCCATTGCTATGTAGAGGAAGGAAGGAAGGAAGTGGCATCCACACGGAACTCCTAAGAATTGCAAAAATGAGCAGAGCAGTTGAAACTGAAGATCTGGACTGGAAATTTGTATTAATGATGGACCAAGGTCATCAAATAGGACCTACAAAACACACAAAGTACAAGTATGTATGAATATAAAGAATGTTCACCCAAAAAAGAAGAAAAACTAGAACCCTAGAATTTGCTCAAGTCGTAGAATTCAGTAAAAACATGAGGAATAAGTTAAGCTGGAACACGCCCAGAAACTTGAATTAACATTTTAATTGTGGTGAAATCATCAGGTACTATCATTTATTTATTTGAAGTTTTTCTATCCTGTTCTATTACCAAAAATATCTCAGGATAGTCCTAAAAGAAAAAGCAACAACATCACCTCCTCTATAAAAACTAAATTAAAATAGCAATTAAACCTTAAATTGTTGGGAAAATAAAAAGGTTTTGGCCTCCCGCCAAAAAGAATGAAGTGTTGGCACCAGGCACACCTCTCTGAGGAGCATGTCCCATAACCGGGGCACCACCACAAAGAAGGCCCTTCTCCAGGTAGTCACTCCTCTGATCTCCTTCAAAGAGGGCTCCCAAAGAAGGGCCTCTGATCCAGATATTAGGGAGTGGTCAGGCACATAGGGAAGGTGACACTCCTCCTCCAAATCCTAGGCCATTTAGGGCTTTATAGGTCATCATCAACTGCTTAAATCAGGTTTAACCATTATCCATTAATATCCATGTCACTTAGAGTACAAGAGGTCAAGTCCCTCTCTCAAGAAGGTGACAATCCAAAGTTTAATTCAAGCGAAATAACAGAGGAAGGAAAATAAATAATTCCAGGACAAAACAGGGAAGCAGTATGTGATTGCTTCCGGTCCATGTGCACATGCTTAGGCTGAACTGTGGGAGATAAGAACTGGAGTTGTGCTGAAGACTTCACATACTCAAGCAGAGTTTCAAGAGAGGATTTAAAGGAAGTAAGAGCAGTGACATTGTGCAGGCGTTTCAACAAGCAACTCCAAACAAACGGGGCTACAGGGGGAAAAGGCCAGAGCCTCCTGAAGGAGCAGGAAACCTTTAGATGGTGGAAAGTGGTGCAGTTGCAGTCACAAAGTTCATGGACAGAGACTTATCAGGCGGTATGAATGGAAAGGTAAAGGCAAAGCCACAGTAGGCAAAGGAATTAATTCAAAGAGCCAGTATTACTCAAATATTCGGATTCAAATGGGGAAGCCAGTATTTTATAGATTAACCAAACCAAATCACAGCATTACAAATCAATGCTGTAATGAATCAAATGAGCCCTTTCAGTCATGCGGAACATCAGTGAACTCTTCAGGGTTAATTAATGCTCTTTTTAAAAATTAAAAATGCAGCATTATTAAATATTTGCTGGTTTGTGTAAAATACAATACTTCTTTGGTAAAATGCGTTTACTAATTTAAAGCCTGCCCCTTGCTCCTCGAAACCAGGATACTGATGGTTTAAACAGGATTCAATAGTTTGGATTTGTTATACCCTAAAAAAGATGAGATACATGATGCGATACTGATATAAAATGACAAAGCTGTAAGCACATATGCCTAATTCTAACCATCTTTCTAACTCAAAGGAGGATTGCAAAGGGAAGTAAAAATCCAAAGCAGGCAGTATGTAGAATGTAGACATGGCAGTGTGACACACTGACCCAGTTCATACAACACTCTTCACACAGCACTGTTACAAACTGTTGGCTGAGGGTTGTTCAAACCTTATGTAACTCATGATGACCAACCTTAAATCACACAGCAATTCTGATCACCTCAGGCATATTCAAAATTTTACCCAACATCAGTGGTTAAACAACCCAAAGTGACCCCAGTAGGTCCTGTGAACCCAACCATTTCATCATAAATATTATGTAAGGAAGGCAACAGACATGTATCATTCTTTTCTGCTTCACATGTGAGCTGACCAACAATCATACACCATTCCCTTAAAGATACATCTTAAGACCCTGATAGGTCTGCCAAACCATCAAGAAACAAGTCCAGAAGCAGAACTTAGTCTTATCTCATCACACCAACCTGTCTTTCTGGATCTTCACAATCTTCCAAGGTCTGTTTTTTGGTTTTGTCTGGCCGCCAGGGTAACCAGTGTCTTTCTTCACGGGAACGTTCAATATGAAGCCAATTTTGCCACTTGGGTAGAGATTTATCCTTTATTTCCTCTTCATTTTCTTCTACATCTTCGTCATCATCTATCCAAAAGCCAAAACATACCAACAGGTTTTCAAAATTTGCTGCCCTGTTCCAAAACACTGGAATTTGATGTATACAAGATATCAAAGGACTGCCATTAATACAAAAGCCAAATGCAGGCATTTAATAAAAGGGAAGTCAGATCGGAGAGGTGCATTCACAACCTGTGGGCACACCTCTCAGTGTTCAAAGAGAAGATCTAAAGAAGAGTCTACTGACATCTAAGTGAATACAAGGAAGAACCCCTTCACACTTCCCTGCTCATTGTGGGAAGTCAAAGACTGAGGAATTAGGAATGCTCAGGAATGCTTGTGTGTGCCCATACCTTTAGGTCTCTTAGGAATTACTGAGACTTGGCAGGATGAGACTCATGACTGGAATATGGCTACACCTTTAAGGGTACACCTTGTCCAAAATGAACAGGCCCAAAAGCGAAAGTGAAGGATAGTTATATGCATGGAATGTACACACTTGAGTGAAAATTCCTAGTTCTTGGGATGGAAACCCTGTTGAAAGCATTTGGGTAAAGAAAGAGGGAGAAAGAATCAAGAGCAGTATGACTGAAATAATTTACCTTTTTTTTTTTTTTTTTGGCTAGAGTTACTAGTTTGGTAGGCCATGGGAATGCTGTGGAGTACAATATCTTGATTTCAACAATGCATTTAACAAGGTTTCCCATGATATATATGTCCAGTGGCCATCGTGGCTTGATTTCACAGAAGATGCACTCTGTGCATCAGGATACTAGGTTGAGATAGGCTGCCCTATAGGGATGGCCAAACTGAGGCTCTGAGCCGCATGCGGCTCTTTGAGTCTCTTTGGCGGCTTGCTGTTTGTTCCTGTGGGTGCCTACAGACACTTGCTTGCCACTCACCACCCACTGCTTGCAGCTCTCAAACATCTGAAATTTACCTGTGTGGTTTTTCCATTGGGCAAGTTTGGTCACCCCCTTGCTCTAGTTCAAGGAGAGCACTTAAACATATAGATTAATAATGCCAGGGACAAAAAACAGAATTAACGTTTTGGCCAGCAAATTACGGGTTATTTCTACAAGTTGTAGGCTAACTGTAGGTTGTTTAAATCATGGTTAACCTATAACAGGGTCCCAAGTCTTTCTGAACTGCTGGAAAATTTGGGAATCTGAGAAACTGTTTTAGACACCACCACAAACTGCCTAATTAGCAGATCTCCAATTTGGCATCTACGGATCTCAGGTTGCAACTTATTCAGCAAAATTTTTGTTTCTTCCTTTTGTGTGGATACCACACCATCTCTGTTATCTAATTTAGCTATTTGTTTGTGATGCAATACAGTTAATGCTTCTTTTAAACATATGTTTTAACAATGCCCTAGAGATGCTTCTTTTTGGAAGGAGGTATTATAGAGATAAATTCTGTATTGAAATAGACTTTAATATTCTCTAATATACATATACTTTTACATTATTTAGCAGCTTCATGGAATGTAACAAACGGGAAATGGGTTCCCTGTACCCTTTTGACAACCAAAAGTGAAAGGACAAACACTTACTTCCTATAATGCAATGCAATGAGGACCTTACAACACTTCCAGAATATGAATAGGTGGCATACAGACACCAACTTCAGATGGATAATTATTTGATTTTTGGTCCACTTTTATTGAAGTTTATGTGTAAGTGCTAGAAAGTTGTATGGACTACATATGAATCCTTGAATGTGCATCAAAAATTGAAATTTAAAAACAATCTAGTGTTTGAAGGCCCCACACTGAGGATCTGTTTGTCAGTACCACTAGAAATGGCCACAGGTGCCGTGGCACCCACAGGTGTCACACTGGGGACTCCTGATCTACAGAGTCCAGGTTGGATGTTGAACAGCCTGTAAGGTTACAGGACATGCCCTTTATGCACCATGGCAAACTGTGGATTACTTAACCCACAATCAGCTATCATTACCTGCAAACTGGGTCATAGATTATAATGTATTACATGTATGCTTTCCCCATCCAAAACCAGAAACTGAATCTGAAGAGATTTACCAGGTGGATTGATGATGACCCAGCCACCTTTTTCTTGCTGATGCATCCAGGCCTTCCAGCCTCTTGCCCCTTTTTCTCCAATCCGAGGCTCACCACTATCCCAGAATGGTTCAAAGAATTCCACCTATAGTTGGGAGTGAAAAATGCACATTCTTCAGTATTATGTACAACAGGTAAGAGAGATGTTGGATGCAACTCGCCATTGGCTGAAGAATTTGGTAAAAATACTTAAATAAGCATGCTTTAAAATTATACATTTGATTGGTGTGGCCAAAGTCCAAGAAACAGCATCATCATCTAATGGCCAGATGTAACACTAAGTTGGGTTCAAGTTGTTTGAATAAGCAGTAGCAAGTGGTAGATTTAACCTTACCCTGCTTCCCCTCTAGCTTAAATTGCCACAGTTTGTTGGTACATCATAACCTGGAATTCTGGTTAGTTTAACCAAGCCAACATTGTGAACTATTACTCGAATCTGGTTTGTTTCAATAAAACACAGCTTGGATTAACCTCTGCCATAATGACGAACTACAGTTAAACACTGAAAGCAGATACTTCCAATTTTTCCCTCATAGCTCAAGTGGATAGTGTGCATACCTGAGACTCATTCACTTAATGCTAACTTACGATGCCTCCGTTCTTCAGTGTTATTAACAAATACTTCACATGAAAGGGACACTGCATTCTGAGACATAAACAGCAGTAATAACAGCAAATCATGTTATGTACACTTCAGCTCTTGTTGAAAAGAAAATACCAGTAGGTTTAAGTTAAGGATGGAACCAATACTCTCATGCACCCATGTGCATCTCTATATGTGTGAAAAACACAAGGGGTGGGGGAGATTATCTGTAAAATTATTTAGTCTATAGCACATAAACAGAAAATGCAAATGTAGATTTTTCACTCTATGTGTTACATGCATGCTAAACATCAGGCTCAATTGAGTCTTTAATAAGGGAAACTAGTAATGAAATGGTAGGGATGAATATAGTTAAAAATACGCATCCCTGTGACATTTCCTTTTTTGGTCTCCATTTCACTGCTGTAACTTGGAGATGAAAATACTACGAATATATTTTAAATTTAGCCTTGTTGGAATTCAAACTATAAATAACAATGCAGCCCTAATATGCACAAAAGATTATTGCTCCAAGCAGAATTCAATTATTATGCTATTTATTGCTAAGTAAAGCCTCTACTTTCTGTGTTTACGAGGTGCTGATAAGGACTCTGGAACAGCTTCTTATAAACATGAGGCAACACCATTCACTGTGGGCCTTCCAGGCTGAATGAAAGCTTACTGAGCCACAAGCAACTAATGACTGTTGCACAGTAAACATCTTTGCATGCAGGTAGTTACTCTGGATAAAAAGCTCTGAATTCTTTTCAACCTCTAACTTGTTGACATTGTCAGGGGGTGAACCAGAGATTGTGGAAAGCCAAAAGGCTGATAATCTCCTACAAAATCAATTGTTTACTATGCTCATCATCCATCTGATGGTAAGTGATCATGTGATACATAAAAGGCAAAAGAAAACAAGCATTTATCTCTGGGGACTGAAAGTCATATTGACCCCATAAATGCCCCACACAAAAAGGCTAAAGCCAAAACAGGCCACAATTGCTTGTTCATATTGAACAGAATACAGCTTCTGCATCAATGATCTCTTCTGAACTGTGAACTAGAAGGGTAACGGAAAGCTGCATGAAACTCTCAAGCTTCGCACTGGGACAAGGAAGGAACTCTGGCAGTCAAGTGCCATGCTCTCCCTGTGCCCTGATCCATGTGACCATCCACAAAGCAATGCCACAGCCACATGCCCTGATCCACATGACGACCTAGGCAAAAATGAGACTGCCACGGCTGCCAGTCCCTGTATTCACTAACCGACTGCAATTTGTGTTGCCAAAAGAATGGGACATGGCTGAAGTGAATGTTACAGCTCTAGTGGCAATAGTATATTGCTCAATCTCTTTTTTGCACTTCAAAATTAGCTTCTTAACCATAGTTAAACAGTACGTGTGTAACAAGTCTGAACCCTAAAAAGCAGGCCTGAGTCTCCAGCTCCTTAAAATACTTGCTTCATTTGATATCCAGGTTTAGTTGCTTACAATATTACAACAGAGCTTTAGTCTGCATTCTCCTGAGTCAACTTTCACAGAACTAAGGAGTTTCCTTTTCTGAAATTAAGCTGGCACAAGGAACACGCCACCTGCACATCTGCTGCCTTGAACTTTCCTCATCAGCCTTATCAGCCATTCCTTTTGAAGGCATAAGGCAGTAAGGAACCTATGCTTTGATATTAGCATAGGACGGAACCGTGGCAATCCAGGAATATTCCTTACTAGCTCCCTGTACTTCATTATTTCTAAGCACCCGTATAAACACTATTATCAAAACTACTCTTGTAACTGTATCTTTTAATGTACAGAATGCTGTATACATGTGCTAAATACAGTAAGCTTGTAATCTAATTAAAAACTAGCCACTTTCTTTGTGCTTTGGTTCAGGCTGTTTTTGATGGGGTTTCTGCTGACTCTATCTGAACCCAACTGACTGGAATCCCACCTTGCAGGACTCCCCCCTGCATGGTGGAAGTAGCTTGCTGCTTAAATGTTATGGAAGTCCAGCTAGCTTATTTGATATTATTGCAATAATAATATCCCTCTTAGTAAAAATAATAAAAATACAGCATGATCACTGGTACTGAGACAAAGGTTAGCCAGGATTCCCTCACAGGGTTTGAAAACAGCTTCCACCCCTATTTTCCAATGCTGATTAAGAACAACAACAAATTAACATCAGTGTAATGTTCAGTTGCAGTTAAGGGGCAGGGGAAATGGCACTGCAGAAAAAGACTAGTGAAAAGGATTAAGAACTTCTGCACCTTCTCCTTACCTGAAACTGAACAAGAATACAGCTGCATTCAGATCATCACAGTTTGGAGGACTGCAAGAAAACCTCTGCTCACTTTCTACTTTGCTTCCCCTCGTCTCTCCTTACATGTTAATTGAATTCCTGGTTTAATCAATCCAGGAGGTAATTGTGTGAAACAGAATGACACATATTTAACTATGGCTGAGCAAACAGGAAAGTATTCAAATCATGAAAATGCATCCTATGGAGGATCAACACAGAAGGATGCAAAAGAAACGTTTGGGTCAGCAGGTAGAAGCCCAGATGGCTGAGCAACTTCCTCCTTCAAGTCAGCTTCCTTCAAGTCAACTTTCTCTTGTCTTCTGATAGCTGTTTCCCTGCTTCTTCATGTTATGCCTCAATGTTATGCCGCCATGTTATGCCTCAATTTTCATGAACAAAACATCAAAACAAACAAAAATAAACCCCAAGCAGATTACAGCAACTGGCTGTTGTGGTGTAGCAGCCTGGACTGAAAACCAGGAAGTCCCAAGCTTGAACCTCTGCTCCACCCTGAAGTCACAAGCTGTTCTCTCTTCAGCTTCAGTACCACAATCTGCAACATGGAGATAATACAAATGACTTACCTTTTTCTGCAAAGATTACAATTAGATAATGGGCATGAAAGACTCTGAAAGTTCCACACACTTTATTTCTTATTACAATTATGCATTGTACCAGTAGTATAGATCATGTTCATTTACATAATTTGTAAAATGTGTTCAATTTACAGATGCAGAGATTTCTTTTTCTTTTTTATTTTGCCTAGAGATTCAGGTGGAAAAGAGAGGACTAGAGAGAATAGCAAAGACAGGAGGAGAGAGAGAGAACCAAGGCATGCAGATTAAAAGATTAAAAGGATGGGGGCTGAGGGGGCAGAAAATCAGAACACCAGTTCTTACCTGTCCCCTTGTTGACAGATCTTTTACACTATCTGGTTTGAAAAAGGTAAAGTCAATCATGGCCTGGAACAAAGATATTGCTTTCTCTGAATGGCCTGCCTGCCTAAGGAAATGGCAGTGCTGAAGAAAGATGGCTGAAAAGAAAGAGACAACACTTTATTCAAGGGATGCCAGAGATTTAGATTCAAAATCCCTTTTGCCATTTGCTGTGGAATGACTTTTATTCAACCATAAAATTACACTAAAATAAGCACATTAAAAAAGAAACTTCATTCAATATATTGGGAAGGGGAAGGTTAGCTGAATGTTTAACTGATAATTATCTGGCTTCTATCAAACCAATTAAATTTAAAGGAATGTGCATGCTACCAGAATCTTAAAGGAGATAACTGCAACACCAGGCAATATCCAATGCAAACTATGCCCCCCAAATCTAATGCCAAATAACCACTTTTCCTCTTTGCTTAGCAAGGCTTAATGATACTATGGTAACATTGGTTCACATTCATTAGCACTTGTGCTGTTGAATGCCGTCCATTGAATTATAACTTGCAAGCACCTAGAGGCAGCTCTTAAGAACCTGCATGCTGGACTAAGTGGCCACAACAAGTGCTCATGAGGAAGATACTGAGAGTTGTCCAGGAGCTGGATGTGCAAAGAGAAGAATGTGGCAGGTTTATCGTCCATGCATTTCAGAAAGCATTTTGTGACCTTAAAAGCACAGATGCTACTCATCTGACATATTAGCAAGTACACAACCAGTAGGGAATACTGAGCTAAAGATTAAGGAATCACTAGTCTTGTGTGAAGGGGTAGGATAAATGAAATCTTAGGAACAGAAGTAGATGCCTCATATTGAATCAGGCTGCCAGTCCATCTGCCCTGCTGTTGGCATCAAGGCAGGTGCCCTACCCCTGAGCTGCAGCCACAGGCTGCTGCAGTCCATGCTCTGGAGTACTAGGGCTATCTGGAGAAGTGGAGAACCCAGCTCAGCAAAGAAGATGAAAAAACGTCAAGTCCATCCAATCTCTACAGTGATCTGCTTTGGCAGACTGTCATAGTGGAAAGCAATACAAGCGATGAGCACTAGGGGGCAGAAGACTTCAGCATATTGCTAATGAAAGATGGCCCCTGAACTCATTAGGGAACTGGAAATTTGAAATAGATACAGGTACTTTACAAAAGTATAATTTTCTTAATAAGCAAATGAGACATTGACAGGTGAAACTGAGCCCATGTTTCAAAGCATCATTAAAAAGGAGCATTCATAAATCTTCAAAACAACAATATTTCCATCACAAGCATTATGGTTATAGCCACATCAGAACTAGCTGGCACCTGTTTTTCCCAACAATGCACTGTTTAAGTGCCACTGCAACAGAATCCTAAAAGGAAATAAAATACACCGAGCAAGGGCTTCACTAGAGACCGTGAAGGATCTTCAAACAGCAGCTCACCCCTCCTGCTTCCAACTCCATTCACTGTTACTGAAAGTAGCTTCACCAGCCTTCCCCAGTTTAGTGCCACTCCTGGCTGAAAACGATGGAATTGCAGCCCAACACCTCTGGAGAGCACCAAGCTGGGAAAGGCTTATGTAGATGGTTCTTGGACTTGCAACAGGTTAGTGTAGATATTCTTGCAAGTGTTCATACTTACTTCTGAACAGACATGCAAAGCCTTGGCCTGGGATGCCATTTGAAAGTGCTGCTGAATGTTTCAGTCCTGCTTACTTCTGAGTAGACATGCTGATCTCATTCTACTCACTTCTGAATAGGCTTAGAATCAAAGAGTCAAACTTGGCCCTATCCACTCTGCCTTTGACCACATCCACAGATGCAATGCCAACCCCCCCCCACACACACACACCTTTTCTAAACTGGAATTTGGACCTCGGAGATTCCCCCTCCCCATCCTGAATTCTTTCCATGCATAATTAAAATCTTCCCATAATTAAAACATCCTTGTCAAGCCCTTACTCTAGCCACATCAGGCTTTCCATGGTTTTATATCAGCTTTCCTTTGGAAGAGAGCCGTTTGTCATCATGCCCCATGCTGGGGTGGAAAATTTACTTTAAACAACACAGAAATGCACATCACAAAGGAACACTGATGTATCAAAGGAGAGGGAGACAGGAATGACCTTTAATAGACAGAAAAGATTAGAGACTGCGCTCTCACCTAGCACGGCTTCCTCTGTGCCTGGCAGAGCTGGATGTGACACCATACTGCCATCCTGTACCGCCGACAAAGTGCTCAGGCATTTTCCATAAAGACTGTGAACTTTGGAAACAACAAAAGTGCTGAACTGACTCTGGCAGAACAAGAGATATTTTTGCCACAGTGTCGGGTTGTTTGGATGCAAGAAAACCAGTTTCTGCCATTCTTTGATCACAGCTGATGGTTCCCAAAACTCTGTGCAAAGCTTTAGCCTAGCCAGTTTAAGGTCAACATCATTTAGGTTACTTTCAATGGCTCTCTCCAAAATAGCCAGCTTCTTCTCCAAGACTAGCTTTAGTGACTTCTTTCTTGTTTCCTGTTCACCTTTGTCAATTGTGTAACAGCTAGGACCTTTCATGAGTTCATCCTTAAAAACAAGTAGAAAAAATGATAAAACATAATTTTTTTCAAGGGTTGGGGTAATTTTTAATCACCTGAAAGGTTCAGGGCTCTGTTCAACTACTAACTATTACAAATGGACTAATTTTAAGTAATGGTTGAAAGGACTGGCACCCAAGACACATGCAAAGGCCTCTTTAATTCCTTCTCTCCCATCCTAGCAGCAGTAAAAGATTTGTAAGAGTTTTTCTGCTGTGTAAGCCAGCTGCTAGTGAAATACTCTCATGTTACTGTTCAGATTGCACAAGCACATATGAATCCAAGCAGAGGCTCCCAAACTGTGGCCCATAAGGACCAACCAGGATATCCACTGAAAGGATGCAGAACAATTAAGAATACCAATACATGGTCCTACCCCTGGTTTATCTTTTTCTAATGGAGGCGATCAAGGCCATTTTATCCAGGGCGAAGTTATTGAAGAGATTAATACAGTCCTGGATCAGACCCTGTGGTTTTCAGTGAAGGTAGTTTCTTGAGATGGATCCTAAACAATGTGCTGTTCACACTGGTGAGGAGTTAGCGCCCTTGGCTGGAATAGTACGAGTCGCTTGAATAGAAGAAAGGAGCCAAGATACATCAGAAGATTAAACGGGAAACTCCTGGGGGTTAGGACTGAGCTGAGGTGCGCTGGTCACCTCATCTCTCAACTACAAGAATTGACAAAAATGTTCCAGGGATGGGAATTGGTGGCTTCATGGGCTCTAGCCTGTTAAATTCTCCATAACCAGATCTTTCAAGGAGAAGAAAATATTCTGGAGGAAAGCATACATTTGTATGAAATGTAGCAAAAAAGCTTTAAAACTGGCTCCACTGCTCCAAAAACATTAGTTTTTTTAGCCATCATCTTAAAACATTAGACTGCAACTTCAATTATTAACATATACGTACCTGAAAGGAAACGAAATCCATCCATGCTTTGACATCCCTGGGATTCTCTCTGACCTTCCTGTTGTACTCTTCTACTCTGGCCAGCAGGCGGGCATTCCCACTGTCAGAGCTCTCTTGGGGTTCCTGCTCCTTTACTGAATCATGCTCAGGAGGACCCTTTCCTTGTAGCCACAATGTGGTTTGTGGATCATAAATTCCAAGGGGATTTACCCAGCTGCTAGGAGGAGGACCATCATCTGGGTCCTGCTGCAAAATTGGTATCCAAGTGGTTAAGTCAGATGGAGAGCACTGACTTTTACAACTGATGGGAATGCCATCCATGTTCAAGAGCTTCCGGCCGCCTTTTGTGAAGTAGCGTTCAGGACGCTTCTGGGATGGTCTTTTCTCTGTTGAACTTTCCCAGATTATATGTTGCTTCTTTAGATCAATGCCAAGACAGAAGTTACTTCTCCTCTTATATCTTTAAAAGTAATAGTTAAAACAGAGTATTTCCAAGGCAGTAGGGAAAGAGAAGGAGAATAAGCATTTTTCAGCCAAATCCCAGATCACAGTATCATCCTTAAATTAAGACCTTAAAAAGCAGTTTTAGCACCTTTCCATGAAGCACATAAAGTAGCTGCAGCAAATGCTTACTTCTCAACCACTAAACATGCAGCACAATCCTTGTATTCAGTAAATCCCATTCAGCTCAATGCAACTTACTCTCAAGGATGAATATATAGGAATACAGCCTCAAACCTGGACCTGAGATCACATTATTGTATTTTGCAGTAACTAGCTCCTCGCCTTTTTTAAATGGCTTATCTGAGCTCTAACATCTAGAATTATATGTGAACAGACTGGGGCTTGAGAATGAAAAAAATCAACATAAGAGTGTTGTGAGGATTAAAATTAAATCTGTTATAAAGTAAGAGTTTATTTCAAAGATCCTCAAACAAAAAATATTGTAAAAGGGTGCTGCAGCAATCAGTGGGCTGATCTGGCTTGTCAATGATTTGTTTCATTTGTAACAACAATCAACCAGTTGTTAGGGCTGTGCAGAAGTGAGTATTGCAAGGAAGTATACCTGTTACGTGTGAACCAAGTCCTTGAGTAGGGTCCCCAAGCTGCAAGGTGGAGATGCACCCTGAACAACTAAGTCTCCAGCTATATCCGGAGATAGATTAACTAGAGCTTCTCCCTGCAGTCCTCCCCTGGTCCTGTTATGAGCCTGGTTACTTGCCTGCTATAACAAGCAGGAATTCAGCTATGCTGCACAGCAGATTTGAGAGGGGGATACAGTAGAAATTGAAAGAAGAAGCTGCAGGTTCCTGGCAGCATTCCATGGCATCATGAAATTTCCAGGTACAGAGAAGCTCTCTGAGTAACAGCTCAATAAAGAAAGCACATATCTGCAATTATGAATGGTATATTACTAACTGCTGTACACAGAGACTAGGAAGGTAGACTAAGATGAGCTCACTGAACTTCATATTGCTAGAATCATCAGGTGTAATTCCAGAAGACTTGTTGACTCAGCAACTGTGGGAACTTCAGGAATTAAAATGGGACTCAGGTGGTGAACAGCGAACACAGCTCACTGGGTGCAATTAGGACATTTGGGAGCAAATTGCCTTCCACATGTCAGCTGGACTCAAAGCACCATTGAGGTACACATTATAAATTATGAGATTCTCAGGAGAGCATACTGTGTGCAAGAGAAGTGGCCAATTAAAAACCACCTTTATTTTAATGGTCAAAGCCACTTTAAAAATCCCAACAGCTCAGCAGTTTTAGTTTGAATTTTTCCATTTTGCAGCTGAGGACAACACTATTTTCTTCTCTATAAATTGAACAATAAGTACAAAGAAATTACTTCCAGATATGGAAGCATGAATATGATGAAGCAGAGTCCGTTCATCTCCATGGTATACATCTGAATTACGGGCGATGAAGCGGGTTGGGAGACGACTAGAGAGCAGGTGGAGGAAATCACGGGATGAATCTGACTGAACACGCTTACGTGCTCACTATCAAGTCTATGCTGTGGCGGTGAGGGCGGTGAAGAAGAAATTCTTCTCCACTTCCACTGCCTCCTCACAGTGTCGTCCAGCGGAACTTTTCCAAGTGGTACATGGGCTAATACATCCAGGCCCCAAAAAAGATCTTGTGCCACCATCGACTGCCCACTGTGACGACTTTGCCTGGCACTTCAAGGAGAAAATTGCTCAGATTTGTCACAAGCTGGACTCCACAGTTGATACGGTTCCTTTAGGGGAGGTGCCAAGAACTCTGTCTGGTCCAGCATTATGGGATGAATTTCAGTTAATGAGGCCTGATGATGTGGACAAGGTGCTTGGACAAGTACGTCCTACCACCTACTTACTTGACCCTTGCACTTCATGGCTACTTACCAAAGCCAATCACAGGATTGGTTCCTGGATCCAAGAGGTTATTAACGCCTCACTGAGGGAGGGCCAGGTGCCCGCTTCTTTAAAGGAGGCGGTAATTAGGCCTGTCCTAAAGAAGGCATCCCTGGATCCAGAGATGGCTGCCAATTACAGACCGGTGGCCAGCATCCCATTTCTGGGCGAGGTGTTGGAGTGGGTGGTGGCAGGACAACTCCAAGTACTCTTGGATGAAACTGATTATCTGGACCTGTTTCAGTCTGGTTCAGACCCAGTTAAGGTACTGAATCTGCCTTGGTCGCCCTGTATGATGACCTGTGCAGGGAGAGGGACAGGGGGAGTGTGTCCCTGTTGGTTCTCCCGGACCTCTCAAGAGGCTTTCGATACCATCAACCATGGTATCCTTCTGGATAGGCTGAAGGGATTGGGAGTAGGAGGCACTGCTTTGCAGTGGTTCCGCTCCTACCTCAACAGCTAATTCCAGAAGGTGGTGCTGGGGGACTTTGGCTCTGCGCCATGGTAGCTATGCCATGGAGTACCGCAGGGGTCCATTTTGTCCCCCTTGCTATTCAACATCTACATGAAACCACTGGGAGAGGTCATCAGGAGGTTTGGGCTGTGGAGTCATCAGTATGCTGATGACACCCAGCTCTACCTCTCTTTTTCAACTAACCCAGATGAGGCAGTGGCTGTACTGAACCGGTGCCTGGCTGAAGTAATGGGCTGGATGAGGGCCAATAAACTGAAGCTCAATCCAGATAAGATGGAGGTCCTGTTGGTAGGTGATTTGCGTTTCCGGGTAAGTGACTTGGGCTCTGCCCTGGATGGGGTTGCACTCCCTCTAAAGGACAGGGTCCACAGCTTAGGAGTGCTCCTCAACCCAGAGCTGTCCCTGGAAGCCCAGGTGATGGCGGTGGTGAGGAGCGCTTTCCTTCAGCTTTGGCTGATCCATGCACTTCAGATGGTGCAAAATAGAGCTGCCAGGATGCTGTTGGGAATGGTCGTTATTCTCACATAACTCCAGTCCTCTATCAGCTCCACTGGCTTCCCATCGAAGTCCGGGCTCAATTTAAGGTGCTGGTTATTACCTATAAAGCCCTAAAATGGCTTGGGACCAGGATACCTAAAGGAACACCTTTTTCCCTACATGTCCTCCCGCCCCCTAAGATCGGCAGCAGAGGCCCTCCTCTGGGAATCCTCTTTGAAAGAGGTCAGGAGACAGAGTACTCAGAGGAAAGCCTTCTCTGTGGTGGCGCCCCGACTATGGAATGCACTAGAAAGGTCCGCCTGGCGTTGTCATTATATGCTTTTTGGTGCCAGGTCAAACCTTTTTATTTGACCAATATTTTAACATAGAGTAATTTTAATTGTGTTAGATTTATTTATTTTAAATAGATTAACTTTATGCTCAATGTGGAACAGTTAACTTATTTTATTGAGGATTGAAATAATGTTGTAAGCCGTCCAGAGATGACAGTGATGGACGGCCTACAAATTATCTGAATAAATAAATAGCAAGTCCCAAATCTTTGTCGTTGCATTCTTGCAGCTAGATCACAGAGGTACTCTGTTTCACAAAAGTGAGAACGCTAATTAGCAAAAACAGTGCCGACTGTTCCAGAACAAAGGAGAAGCATCTCCATGCAGCTTCAAATGGAAGTGTGTGCTGTCTCAGATGGATCTTAAGATCCAAAGCACAACTAGCCCTGTGGGAGCAGACAGAAGACAGAGGAGGCAAAAATACCACGAGAGACAAGATGAAGAAAAAGAATGTGTCTCTGTTGCTGGACATAGAAGCATTTGTATCGAAATTAAAGACTTCTATCTCCAGCATCAGAAACACATACATTCTTTTTCTTCTTCCTCCCAAGAGCACTAGTAGTTTGTGAGCAGATGGCTGGATCTGTTGATGGGAAGCATACCTTACTTACACAAGGTAATGACTATGTGCTCTCATCCAGTCAATTGCCAGAAAAGAAAGAATTGAACCCTATGAGAATTATGTGCACAGGTCAACACACACAGAAAGCTGGATTCTGACCAAAGCTTTTTTCCATGCCAAACTTTAACCATGTGTTACCAAAGGTTGCTTGGATTTATGGTTTTAGACTATCTTGAGGGCATTTTCCAGTTGTGTGATATACAGATCTAAGAAATCATCAATACATCCAATAAACCCCTTTCTGCTATCAACTTTTAAGCCTGTAAATGTCATTACCTTGCGATGTTCCCTTGATAAAGTGACTTGTATTGCCAGTTTGCAGGGTCTGGTTTCTTATCTGTTCTGAATACTTCTGCTGTCAAACCCTGGATGTCATCAAGCCAAATAGAATGGTAGCTTACACTTGAGGGCTTGTCTTCTAAACTGCAAAATAAATTAGGGAGCAGGAAGAGGATAAATAATAAAGTTCAATATTAATTAAAGCAAAAGATTAAGATGTTCAGTACTCATAATCAAGCTAAAAAGTAGTAAGGCCATGGCCAAAAGAAATTAAAAAATCTGAAAGCCAGGCTGGAATAAGGGAATGTAAAATGGACCCCTCATCTACATTTCCAAAGTCAGCTTCAGAAATCTTGTAAATGTGGGAGGAATGGGAAGAATTCGCTTTGAGGATAGTAATCCACTGGATTCCCTCACTTTGGCTCCCTGGACTCTGGCCAGCTTTCCTGCAGCCGAGAGTCCAGCTTGGCACTGGGCGTTCACTCACCAGGAATCAAGTCCTGCACGAAGGCTGCATTCGTGGGGTCCCTCCTGTGAGTACATGACTTGTGGCCTTTGTTCCTACTGCTCATGCATTGCGCAAGCAGGGTTCTGCGAGCATTTGCAGACTTCCTTTCAGTTTGGCTTGCTTCCTAAGCCAGGGCTGAGCATGAAAAGAATTTCAACAAGCAGAAGGGAGCCAGACTCCAAAAGGATCTTCACAGTCTTACTTTGTTGAGGCTTTGGTAGCAGTCTAGAGAGACTGTAGCTCAGTGGTAGAGCATATGCTTTTTTATCTAAAATGTTCTTGGCTCAATCCCCATCTCTCCCGGCACTCAGTGTCACTCAGTGTCAACTATACTGGGCTAGATGGAATGATAGTCTGACAATTTGAGGAGATTCTGATGTTGCTAACAGGAGTTACAGTTCAGTTCTTTATGGGAACACCCCTCTCCTGGTTCACATGAACCCTGTCCTGGTCCACAGAACATCCCACTATGGGTTAATTTAGCTGCAGAGCCTGTTACATTTTTGCAAGGCAGTCACAGGTGCTTAGCATGTTGTGTCATGTGAACTCAGGTGCCAGATATTGTTTGAGGTCTAATTAAGCCTGTAGCAAGCCATGGAGGATTAGAGAGTTGTCTAACCTTTGAACAACCCCTGTTGCCCAGGCTCACTTGACATGGCAAGCCACAGTAAGTATGGATGCTTGGCATGATACAGCAGCCCTCATGGATAAATTAAGCCATGGCAGGTTGTCATGTCGTGTTAACCAGTCACTGAATTCAATGACATTTACTGGACAACAGGAATAGAAATGTAGCCTTAACCAATTCTTACGAAGGTTAAAATGGAGCAAGGTGTTTCCTGCCTCAATTTGATGGCTTCTTCTTTGGGGGCTGGATGGCATTGCACTGGCAGGCTGTATACTTACCTTTCCTAAGCTGTTATTTTATAGTTAGTTGTACTGTGGCTTACTATTTTAAGGTCCTCTGTGCTATTATTATGATCTATTGTTTATACAGAGTCATCCCTATGGGTGAGGTTTACAGTGCCAAAATTAAGACAGAGGGAGAGTTGGATCAAAGAATCCTAAGGAACAGAGCCAATGAGCAATAAAAGGGGAAGAACTGAAGTGGGGGAACCTCTTCAGTGTGACAGCAGTAGGCACAGGGGATAAGATTTAGTAGCAACAATGCAGCAGTTCAAGATGAACTTCATTTGTGTGTTGCAAAGACAAGACATCTGGCCTTAGAAGGAAGACTTATACTGGAGGACGGTTTCGCTGGTAATTTATTATTAGTAATCAGTCATAAAAGGAACCCTGGAGAGGTAATGAATATAATACCCCCCAGGGTCCTACAATTTATTTTAAAGACAGAAATGTTAAAATGAGGCATCATATTTATACATAGGGTAGTATCCAACCCTAGCACAAATGTAAAATTCATTATACTAATATAAGCGACCTCTAGTGTGACAGCAAACATGATAACTGGCTCAGCAGGTGTTCTGCGGAAACCCATCTCACCAACCATTGTTGTCAGCACTGTGCTGATGGCTGCTTACACTAGTAGAAAAAAATCTGCCTTGCATGGCCTTGGATACTTCCTGAAGACTTACCTGTCATGTATGCAAAATAATTAAATGGAAGCCAAATCTTTTTAGAATTCAGTCTGAATGATTTTCCTAGAACTTTAATTCCCAAAATTCAGGGAGCAGATGCTGACAGATGAACAGCACAGCATCTTAATGAATACCATTATGAATGGTCGAAGTAATAAATTCCCAGTTAAATCAAATTAAAATGTTGCATAATCGACATTACTTTGTCCTTTTGAAGGTATCCTTCTTGCTGCCCTGCCTCTCAGTTCTCAACAGTTTGATCAATGTAGGCAGAAGTCAAAAGAGCAGGCTAATATGCACATATATATCCTGGCTTAGGAATGTCATTAACTTAAAAAGACAAAACCCAACTTTGCCTCAGCACTCCAAACAGATCAGATGTCTAAGGCAAATTTTGTCATTCTTAACAATTCAAGTGAGTGGAGATGTTTTGCTCAACGGCTCACTAGTTAGGTATCCAGCCATCTCATCTATTTTAATTGTTTTAATTGTTAACTTTATTTATTGATTTTAATAATTTCTCACCAGAATGTCTCCAATATTTTATGTAATTGTATCATTTATATTTATTTATGTTTGGAAGCCGCCCCGAGGCTTATGCGAATGGGGCGGCACATAAGTTCTCCAAATAATAAATAATAATAATAACGACACTGCATTCTGAAGGCTCCACATAGCCTATAACAATCATAACAAATTAAAACAGTTAAGGAGTTATTAACTGTATAACATAAATCTGTAACTAAGTACGAACCTGATTTCTGCTGTTTGGTGACTGGCTGTCAGTTATATATTAGCTGCACTAAATATTAATAATAAAGCACAGTTATTCTAACAAGAATATCATTACAGCTTGATCTTGTCACTCATTTATTTATAATTATATTTTCTTTGTATGTTATTTGTATCATGCTTATGAAGAAAAACATTAGGCGACAGAATTTGAGCTGAGTAAGAGGTAATATCATCCTTTCCTGCTATCATCCTTTCCTACTAACTATATTCAGACCTATTTTCGTCCTCTTGCAATCCACTATTTCCAGGCCCAAACAAAACAGGCAACACAGTAACTTACAGCAATAATCAAAAGTGCTGCTGGAGAGTTTTATTTAGCCACATGAAGGCCAAAGTTAGTAAACTTGAAAGCCACATATCAACATTTTCTTTGAAGAATAGCCTCGGTGTTTTGGCTGCTCGATTGCTATTCCTGCTTGAGCCATTTCTCCACCATTCCACTGCTAACACCTTACTGTTACTTCTTCCTTTCTTCTAGTCTCAGGGGACTCTTTGAACAGGGGTACTCTACCAATTACATTATTTCTCCAGGCTCCCTGGATGAAAACACGTAGCTGGAAGAAGGGAGAGCAGGCACAGGCAAGTCTTCAATGGATCCCTAATTCGCAACAACGCTTCTCATTGACCTGAAGCACAATCCTGTACAAGTTTACGCAGAGGTTTTGCGTTCCATAGGCCTTAACTGCCTATTAAGTGTATCAAGGATTACAGCCTTAATTTCATGCCTAAAATGTCTTGAACAGTATCCTCAAAAACAGTGAGAAAGCTAGAAAAAATCAGGACCAATATAAGTTTGGAAAAAAAATACTTACGTACTTCAGTTGTGCTCCTCCTTTCCCATTATTCCTATGATCTTTTGTATCCTCAGAGTCAGATTCACTGGTACTCTGATCCCTTTTCCTTCTTTTTTTTACTTTTTTACGATCCCGCTGTTTTTTCTTTTTCTTTTGTTTCTTAGCTGCTTTTTGAAAATCATCACTGCCTTTACTCTCTCTTGGTAGCTCTAAGTTGGTGGTTGTTCCGCATAGAAATGAACAAGAACTAAGAACAAAAACACACAACTGAGAATATCACAATCCATTTTTAAAGCTCTGAGAAAAAAACCGCACAGGGAATATTAAAATGGCTTTTAAACAGTAGACAAAATCTATGTGTTGAATAACATGATGGAACACATTGTTAATTGTAAATTATTCTAAAGCATTTTTGAAAATTTTATATGCCCAAACATCAAAGAAATTATAAAAGACAAAATGACGTTAGTTCATAGTTGTGGTGGTAAAGGTTGGGTTGCACATGCTGTTTCTGTTGTAGAAAGACTAACCCAACTTATGATCTGTATAATCCTAAAAGCAGTTTGCAGAAATTCCCATCATCTCAGTGGAAGTTCTTCCACCCACTCTAATCATAGGACTAACTGCCTGCTGGATCCACAATTATGCCTCTGCAGCTGAATGCAGTTCTGAGGATGCTGGGGTTTTCTTGAAGGCAAAGAAGTTGATGCAGCAGAACACTGGGAAGGAAGACTGTTCACTCCTCCTCAGTTGTGTGAGGCTATTGATTTTATGTCTTGAGTTGGCACTTCTCAGCCTCCGCCACCTTTTTGACAGTAACCCAACTCTCCAGCTATTCCAGAAAGCATAGATATTAGTTCCTCCATTTTCACAGTGGTTTTTTTGTTTAGTTTTTTTTGGGGGGGGGCGGGTTGGAGCAGTTACTGCCATTCCCAGGAACTCTTTTGTAGAAATGTATGCAAATGCAATCTTGTTGCTATGTTCTGTCAAGTCAGCTCTGACCCTGTGAACGGATGCCATCCAAACTGTTCTGTCTTTCACAGACCTGCTCATCTCTTAGAAAAACAAGGTTATGGCTTTCTTTATGGATCTGAGCCATCTCAAATTTGGTGTTCCTCTTCTTCTGTCTTCAAGTTTCCAGAGTATGACTGTCTTCTTTAGTAAGCCTTATCTTCTCATGATATATTCTCAAAGTACAGCAGCTTCAGTTTTGTCCATTTTGCTTCCAGGGAAGTTCTGGCCATTTGATTTGATCTAGGGCCCATTTGTTCAACTTTCTGTCAGTGCAAACATCTCTTCCAGCACCATTTTCTAATACATCAATTTTCTTCCTGACAGCTTTCCTCATTGTCCAGTTTTCACACTCATACATAGTGAACAGCAATAAGAGCCAAGAGATAAATGGAAATCAAAAAGTATATGCAAATTTAATGGTTGGGAAGGGAAATTTGTGCACTTGCACTAGTTCTTCTGTTATTGCAGGTGTGCACATTTCCCTTCCATTTATTTCATGCTCCTTAAATGTTCCCATATTCCCCTGCTACTTACTTCAAAGTCCACAAATATTCCCAGCAGTTCTAAAAAAGGAAAATGAAATCTTTGGGGATTGCAGATGGGATGATCCAAATAGGGTGCCTATACCAGCAATACTTACACCCCACCCCTACAAGGGCCTGATTCTCTCCATCCCAGAAGCCATCTTCTCGGGACTTTAAAAAAATAACTTTAAGGGAAATGGAGGTGCAAAAAGGTGGAAGGAATCAATATTCATCTTTTCTGGAGTAGAGCTGGAGAGTCATGGAGGGACTGACAAGGAGGGGGGCACTAAGACGTGCCATTTCAATATTTAAGAGAGAGAAGGAACCGCATCTCCAAGGAACAGAAATTGCTTTCCAAACTTTTGCTGCACTTACTTCCTTGGCTTTCCCCCTCCATTTTCACTGCTACTGACTTGCAAGGATGGGTCCCTTCTTTTTCTTACTGTTATGTCATCTCCCTGGACCTTTGTGACTAAGAGCAAATTGGCCAATATACAACCTGGTCTTGTCAATTTCCTTTTTTACCCTTGCTCCCTTTCTCTGCCAAAAAATAAATTTAAAAATGGCCTCAATTGCCTATTTCTGAGGCAACCTTTTGTTTTTGTTTTTTAAAAGCCAGGGAACAAAACAGGATAATGATTGGAGTGACACCTATTATGATTTTTCAGATGCCAAAAAAGAAAAAGCAGAGAACAAAACTGGATAGTGACTGGAGCAGGGAAGAGGTTTTTTGGCTTGTTTGTTTTGTTTTGGTTGTTGGTTTTTGTTTAGTTTTGTTTTTTTGGCCACAAAGTCCCTGAGATGTTCCTCCTTCACCTGAAGAACTGAAGGGGAAGGGATGAGAAAAATGAACCATGTTAATCCCAACCATTTGTTGGACATACCAAGTGCTGGGGTGGCTTATCATGACATGTGAACTTGTCCAGCATGTTGCTACAACAGTACAAGCAATGATGCTTGATCTGTAAGGCTAGGCACACAATTTTGCTGGTCTTTGAGTAGATTACAAGCAGCTATGCTGAAAAGTACCCAAGAACACATTACCTTTGAAGCGGAGTTTTCTCTGGGACAAGGTCTGTGACCTGTAAAGCATGCTGATGCAGTCTCAGTGCATCTTCACTGCAGAAGCTTGGGTTGGTTAGCCAATTCAATTCTGCAGTTACAGAAGGAATATATTTTAGAAATCTGCAATGTGTTATTTCAAGTTTGCAGATTTATATTGTGAACAGACATTACAGCTTAAAACAGATGGACATCTATAAGAATAATGCATTATTGTTCTTGAAAGCTCCATGAAGCCGGCATAATTTTTTTCACATACTAATTTAGGTTAATTTGCATAGGAAAAATTTCCTGTGTTTTACTGCTGATGTAAATTAGCATCAACTGCAACAGAAAAATTTCTGATGCCCTAATGCAGGGGTGGCAACTTGTAGGCAATTCTGGCCTACAAATCACATCACTCTTCACCACTGGTTGGGGATGGCCAGCTGATGGGAGCAATAGGCTAAAGCATCTGGAGGACCACAAGATGCCTCCTTCCCCTAGAAAATGTAGCATGTTTATTTTACTTGTATTTAGTAAACAATAAAGATTTTTAAAAGTACCCCATGTTAAATTTGTCCCATTGCATCACAAATATTTGAGGCAAAAAACATGATTTAAATGTTATACTTCCTTTCTATTCTTTAAAGGAAAAATACAAAAGTACTGAAAACTGTTGATAATCTATAATGTTAGCAACCAATAATATGCTGACACCATTTATATATTTCAATAAAAAAAATTCCACTGAAGATTGTTGGTGCGTGAGTTAAGTCTTGGCAACAATTAAAAGATGAAGGGAAAAATATAGAATGGGTTTATTACCACTTGGTTTCAAGACTGAAAGATGCAATCCAATCAGAGAAAAGTACTGTAAGAGATCTGACAGAATTTGAAAAGCTGATTATGCAATGAAAGGATCATTTGTTAGGAAGAGTTTACAAGGAATTACTCCAGTTTGACATTGAAACTCTACAAGTTAAGAAATGTATGATAATTTGGACACAGAACTTTGGAGAAGAAATATTGTCCTGCCAATGGAAAGCCTTATGGAATAAAGACATTCAATCAACAGCCAGTCATGCACTAAGAGCAAATTGGTATAAGATATTTTTTGGTGGTACATTACCCTGAAAAATATAGAAAAAATGGACAAGAATTATGATGGAAAATGTTGGAAATGTAAAAAAGTAGATGGCCCAGATCAAAACCTTTTTATTCTCCCGTTATTTTAACTGTTGAATAGAGGTGTTATTATAATGATCGGTTGCACTGACTCAACATGTTGTTATTTCATTCTTTGTTATGGATGTTCATTTTTTGGTATTCGTTTGTGGTTTTGCATGGATTTTATGGAACTTGTTGCACTGTTTTAATGTTTTAACCATTTGTGAAACGTTCTGAGAGCACTGCACTGGGACAGCAGTATATAAAAATCTTAAGTAATTTAAAGAGTAGACAGATTGAAGAAATTGATTTGAAGTGTTTGGAAAATTTATTGGTTTAGAGAATTATAATTATCTTTTTTGCAAGCTTCAATAAGTTATACAACATCACACTGAAACCAAGACTTAAATACTTCAGTTTTCAGAAAAAGTGCATCTTTAATGGACAGAAGCTATCAGCACTGCCTCTTTTATAAACAATTGCAGTGGCTTGGACACATTTTATGTATGGATAACTAAGTGCTGACAAAAATTATTTTTGAATGGAAACAGCATACATTTTGTGGCCTCAAGAAAGTCTACACCTATGGCTGAACAACAGAATGAAGAGTGATTTAAGTTGCTCTCCTATTAACTGGTTTCCTGGGAATATGATTCAGTGGGACTTACTTTTGGATACGCATGCATTGAACTGCTAGGACTCAGCCTGATGGAGATGCCTGTAATCCTCAAAGTCAAAGTAATGGGACCCTCCAAGACTAAGGAGCTGGATTAGATTAATCTCTTGAGTTCCTCCAGAATCAAGGCTCCTTGCAGGATAAAGCACATAAGCACTTCATCCACACAGAGGGAAACGAACGGAAAAGGAAGCCCCTTTGAAGGGTTGGGATGCTACCATATGAGGGGTGCCCAGCACCACACAGTTCACTTTTATAAACCACCCAACCCAATGCCAGTGCTTAGCATTAAAGAAAGCAGATCGATGTTAACACTTGTCCGCAAGGACAACACACGTTGTTGTTTGCTTGTTTGTCCACCTAACGCTGACAGTTACAGGATGGGGCTCTGGGCTTAAGATATCCCGGTTCTAGCCCCTATTTGGCCATATAACTCACTGAATGATTTTGCTGCCTAACCGAACTCACAGGGTTCTTGTTGTGAGGATAAAAAGGAAAGGAAGAGGGGTATATAAGCTATTTGGGACTTCTTGCAAAAGAAAAAAGATGGGATTTAAATGTACTGGAATAACTGTAAAACACATGCAAAGATCTATTTGAGCAAAAAGACCAACACCTCATTGAAGGAAAGGGGCAGGTTCCAACGGAGGCACTTTAGAAATAGGAACGCGAAGGAGAAACAGAGCTGATTCAAGGGGGCGGACCTCACAATCCCAAAACAAAGCTTTAAGACTAGACCAGTGGGGTAGATGGGGGTGAGGATGAGTCGATTACCTCTTTTGGAGCCCTCACGTTCGCTTGCTGGTGTCTCGCCGGGCTCCGCGGTGTCCGCAAAAGCAGGGAAAAGAGCCATCCCATCAAGAAATAGAAAACTTCTAACCACCACCGCTACTTCCTTGGCCCCTACCAAATGCAACCACGTTCCGCGAGACAAGATGGCGCTACCGCCTTTCCTGGGCATGCTGGGAAATGTAGTTTTCCCGACTTTAGTCCTAAAATGGCGTCGGCCACCAGAAGTTGAGAGGTCGTATAGAAGCTTTCCGTAGCTTAGTGTACGCCGGGCTATTAGACTACATATCCCAGCATTCCTGATATTTGACCACGATGATTGTAAGATCCTGGAATCTGTAGTGCAATATAACTTGGTGGGCACGACTTTACACCAGCCTGCTACTTTCCAGGTGTTTGGGACTTCACTTCCCCAGTCAGCATGGCCCATGGTCAGGAATAATGGGAGTTGTATTCGAAGAGAACCAAGTTGAGGAAGGCTGGTGTAGAACTCTGACAGCTGTGCTGCCTTTTTCAGCAAGTGTTGGTTATCATCTTTTGTTCTGAAGCCATAATCCTGTTCATCATTCAGTTGTTAGACTTAAGATTTTTCGTGTTTATTTCTTTTTACTTTCCTGTGCACACTTTAGCAAAGTATTGCTTGCTTTGATTATTTTCTAAACTGGGTTTCAGCAATGCACTTTAACATGGACTGCCTAGTTTGATAGCTGCTGTCTGTCTCCTTTGGTGCAGAATGTCACAGCCAGGTTAATAACAGCAGTTATTGCCAACATGCTGAGGGAAGTACACTGACTGCCTATATATTGCCAGGGAAGGATTACGGGTTGGGTAGTTCTTTGCAAAGCCCTAAACAACTAAAAACTAGAATACTTAAGAGATCATCTGATCCTCACCTGGCCTGCTCAGTCACTGCACATCAGGAGGTACTCTACCGATACCAAAAATGTTGAAGCTCCAGTGCATCATGGCTTGTAATCATATTGTAGCTTCCACTCTTGGGAACGCCCTACTACTACAAATAGGGCAGGTGTCACTCTTGTCCTCCAGGTCAAGATGTTTTTTGTACGTCACTTCGCAATGTCTGTAACATAAGTGACTCATAAATATTGTTAACTATTTTCTATTAAGTTTTCATATCCTGTTCCTCAACCAAAAAGCTTCTCTGAACAGCTTGCATAAAATCTGTAGAACAAGACAGTCCCTGTCTGTAGGCTTGCAAACTTACTCATAAAAGCCTTATCACACAAGAAAAATGGAGGAAATGAAATAGGAAAAAAATAGGATGCAAACATTTTGATATGAATGTGTGCCTTCAAACTTGCTGGCTCACACTTCCATTTTTGTTAGATGGTTTCTTTTGGCCATCTAAAAACAATGTTCTTAGGGTGGGGGGAGGAAGCAACTCTCTCCACTCCCTTCAACCCCTTTCCAAGGTCACTTTCCCAACCTGGAAGAGTAGCCAGCACTGTTCTGTCTGCTACTTCTGCAAAGCCACAAATAGAATTCCGATTCCTAGCTCTGAGGCTGCAGCCCTATCTCCAGCTGCGGAGCTGGAAATCTGAACTATCCTATAGCCCTTCAGATAATGTCTAGGGGCACTGGATCATTCCCTTCAACAGTTTTTTAGTAGGGCTGGTGGAACAGCCCTGCTTCTCCTCAACTGCCTCAGTACAGTCTACTGTACTTCTGATACCAAACAAAAATTATCCCAATCAAAACTGGACTCCTTTGTCTGTGCAAAGCACACATGTTTAGCAATTTGAAACCTCAGCAGTAGTAGGAACTCCCTTAGCTATCCAATTAAATATTTCTTTTACCCCAGGCTCTATATTTGTTCATTTCTTTTCCATTTTGAACATGAAGCTTTATTGATCAAATTTCCAGTGATGGCTACTTGCATGTAACTGTTTTCATGGAGCAGGCAAGATTGAACAGCTCTCTAGTGTAATAACTCAAGCCCTGAGCTCTTCCTTTTTTGCTCAGGTTGCACTGCACTGCTGTATGACTTATGTAGGAATATCTTTATCAGCTGTTTCCAAATGAAATAGTAATTATTTTAGAGGCAAAATGGAGATGTAATTATCATTGCAGGACTGCTTTGAAAGTCATTCTCATCCCTTCTGTCTGGGAGGATGTCAAGTACACAACAAACTCCTTGCCTTGTGAAATGGGAGAGCAAACCTGTTTCCTTGGTAAAAGAACTCCAAGAGGTAGAAATCAGTATTGCCTTCTCTGTCCACAGCGTGCACATCCAAGCTTTTAGAATTGCAGCTGCTCTTGAGTAATCATTTTGCAAGGGGTGAAGTCACACAGCTAGATATCTTTTCCTCACTGTCAGATAAAGCAAGGCTGCTCATCAGTTTGTTTGTTCACTTTTGTTGCCTGTTGGGATTTGGTTTCCTTTCCCTTTGTGACCAGATATGGGTTAGATTCAATTACAACACAACTTATGTCAGCTGACTTGAACACATCTCTTTCTTATTTAAATAGTTCTCAGCTGCTTGATTTTATATATATATATATATATATTTTGAAATGTTTTATCTTTATTTATGCTTTGCAATTTTAGGAATTGCTGTTGTGAACTACCTAAAGAATTTAAGAGATAAAAGAATAAATAGAGTAATAACAATAACAGTAACAATAACTTAAGGTGCAATTCTATACAAATTCAGACAGAAAAAACCCTACAATTACCAGCATGCCCTGCACAGATTCTCTGACTAAACCTGCACGGGATGACATAGTCATCTTCCCTAGCTTGTAACTCACTCTTCCTTTTTTTTTTTCTTTCTATCCCTCATCTTCCTTTTTGTGTGTCTCTCTGTAAATTCCACTTTTTACTAGATCCTAGTCCATACAAAACACTCTAGTTTCCTCTAGCCCCAGTTTTTTAGCCTACCATGAACTCTGTCTCACTTCCATTAGCCAAGCAGTTTCTCAGCTAGATCTCCTCTAAGACTTCCTAACCCTCCAGAACTTAGTAGTGGCAGCAGCACACAGAAAGGGCCACTGTCACCTCTTGACATTCCCTGGCCAGACCCCACCACACCTGTCAAGGCCCACAGTTGATGGGAATCCTACCTCCCCACACTCGCCCATAACATTTTTTTCCTGGTCCAGCACTCTGATCAACTCTAGGTGGATCATAGAATACTAGTGTTGTGTGCATGCACACGCTTGGATGAGATTCTCAGGCATGCATAAGAGATGGAGGACTCTGGAGGGAATGGTGGCTCAGACTCAGAGGAGGGGGAGTGGATGGCTGACCCAGCCGTGGCTCAGAGTTCTCACTCTGATATGGGAGTTATTGAGACTAGATAGGCCCCGGCTGCCCAAACTCTCCTGGTGAGCCAGCCTGAGCCAGCTCTGGATCAAAGCACTTCAAGGACAACCACTGAGCCCCCTCCCACTCCTGATGGTGGGAAAGAAGCCAGTGGAGATCAGGCTGGGGAGGGGGTCTTGGGAGGAGAACTTGACACCCCTGGAGACGTGGACACAAGGGCTTGTTGACGCACTCACCAGCTGGACCAATTAGGGGCTCAATGGGAAGCGTGTCGGGCCCTCTCCAGAGACCAGCCCTGAAGGGTTCATAAATAAAAGCTTTGGGTGAATTCAGTCAGAACAAGGGATGAACTTTCCACCCGGAGTGTGTCTTTTGAAGTTTGTGAATATGTTGTTTCTGTACAAAATAAAGACTCTTTTAATAATTGCTGAAGTGCTTGTCTCATTTGGGAGGGGACGCCTAGCTCACAACAAGTAGGATTGGAAGGGGCCAAGAAGGCCATTGGGTCCAACCACCTGCTGTTTCAGGTCACCAAATTATACCATCCCACTCAGATGGATCTAGTCCCCTTTCTAATTTCCCATAATGCCCCTGACCTAGTGTTGTTTCAGAGCATGGCAGGCAACTGCTTGATAAGCCCACCATGCCCCAGTGACAGAAGAGGGTCCCCAAAGGGCACTTTGTCCAGGTCCCTCTTGAACTTAAAGCCAGTGCTAGTCAGACTCCCTTCTTACCTCAGTTCCCTAACTCCCTTTAGGGCATTCGGACAATGTTATTTCTTAAGCACTAGGAATGTTATGTCCATTGCCGTCAATCCCTGTCAGAGTTTTCATCAACAACAAATTCAAAATAAAGCCACTAAGAAACGGCATTATTGAGAATCAAAGGGTTGGAAGGGACCTCAAAGACCATCTAGTCCGGCCCATTGCAATGCAAGAAATCCATTGATACACTATGCTCGATAGAGGGCATCCACCATGCCTTTAAAATCTCTGATGAAGGACAGTCTTTTGTCTTCTGAAGGAATCTGTTCCACAGCTTACGTAGTGAGCTCCTTCAACCTTTCCTCATAGGACTCTAACCACTACACCACACTGGCTGTCTTTTGGCAGTTGGCTGGAGCCTCTTTTTCTACCCTCTGCCCTTTTGAAGGTTGGAACAATCTTTGTGCACCATTAGTCTCTTGGCAAGTCACCTGTTCTTAATTTTTTAAAATATTTAATAGTGACTAGATCAATAATGCTCCACCAAAATGCATGCACACACACTTGTAAAAACACCCAGAGGGTACTGTGGCTTTCCTTCTTCACTTAAACATGCAAAGTTTTGCTGCTACCTCTGAGCTGCAGTGATTCACCCTGTATGGAGGGGCCAGGAAAGGGGAATTCTGGGGTATTTTGAGGCAAGCTGGGGGAAATGTAGATCCACAGCACCCACAGCTTCCTTCTCCAGACACACTCGCAAATAGGATCTTAAAGTACACCAGCCCTGAAACTGGCATACTGAATTCTTGCCATTAATGGAAGGGGAAATTTAAAAGAAAAATCATTAAGAAATGGAAAAAGTCAGAAATGGTTCTCCATGCCCATTACCTGGTCCATGTAAGTTCCTGCTGAGGTATCACCAGATTTATTTCAGTCTTTCATCAACTTTTGTTAGGTCTAACAATTTATTGCCTTACAGCAACCTTGGCAACATATAGGTACATGAGGGGGTGTCATACAGAGGTAGGAAGAGACCTCTTCTTCCCTGCAGAGGAAGGCAGGACACACTCCAATAGAACCAAGCTAAAGGAACCAAGGTTCAATTTGGATGCCAGGAAGTACTTCCTGACAGTTAGGACCCCGAGGGTATGGAATG